ACAGTTCTTTTTATTTATTATACAATACATTTCTCTAGATCTACAGATCAGTTGTCGAAGGGAGAAAAAGTTATGAACTAGGTCACTAGACTTAACGTAAATTCTAGATCTAGACTTAATGTAAATTCCACATCTAGAATCTATTCCAGGCCTTAATTATTTTATATAAATCTTTGTTTAGCTTCAATGATCATCTAATTCGAGAATAATTGTGATTTTTCTATCTAGGTTCTAGATTACTCGCTAACTTAGAGGCGTGGTCGGTTGCTAACAACAATATTGCGTCCGGACCGGACGCATGACTTCCGACCATTTTTAGGCCAAATTCCAGAGACCTTCTTAGAATTACTATTAAAAATGTTTACCACGAGCAAAATGGTGGGTTTTCACGTTATATAAACATGCTATAGGTGTTGCAGGGCTAGATATGCCAGAAAAGCATTTTAAAATTTGCTTTGGAGAATGAAGGCTAAATTTTAAAGTCGGTGTCTTTAAAATTAATAGCACTTTTAAAAGGTCACATGTGACGTCAGTATATGAAGGGATAGTGTGGTCAGACCCATGCTCAGCCGATATCGGTGTTTTTAAAAGATAAAAATCTTCTTTTTGAATGTGGGGGTCTGGTTGTTTTGTGACGATAAGTGACAGACGTGATGTCATTTATGGATTACCCCGGTAAGTCTAGTAATGCACTATAATTTATAGACTACTATTTAATTAACTATAAGAGAAGCGTGGGTCTCTTCCTAAATAATAGAAAAGGTATCCAATGGATACTAAAGTGGCCCACGCTTTTCTTTATAGTTATTTAAATAGTAGTCTATAACTTTTCTCCTTTTTGGTGCATTATTACATGAAAGCTTGTTATTAAAACCTTTTTTATGAAAAAAATTATTATCATTATTTTTTATCAATTTCATTGTTAGAAGCTAACTGGCCGAATTTTTCTAGCAAATATTTGAAAAATGAAATTTAGCTGACCTGAGAAAAAATGATATAGTAATTTAAAAAAAATCAACTCACCGGAACAGAGAAAAAAGGTGACAGCCAACACTGCAGCCAATAGCCCAGCAGACATGTTCAGTGCTTGTGTTGATGTCGTGTCAGTCGATCGCAACAGAAGACGGTTTCAGTTGATGGTGATGTTATATTCTATAAGCCTGTTGTATGTTTCAGTCTATGGTCTTTTTATATATTGACTGTGATAATCGTTGGAGTTAATTTCTCCCAGTGCGCTCTAATACGGCACTGGCTCCAATTTTTTTGTTTTCATAAGCATGTAATATGTAAATCCAGGTGGCTGAGTCCTGTTGTTTTATAAGCTTTTGTGTTCAATTCATGTTAGATTTACCTACATCCATTTGAAAAGCACGAGTAAAAATATAGTTTGTTTTCATTAGTCTAAAAGTTCTAAACATCTTATTTATAGGGTTTGTCTGTCTGTCTGTCTGTCTGTCTGTCTGTCTATCTGCCTGCCTACCTGCCTGCCTGCCTGACTGCCTATCTGTCTGTCTGTCTGTCTGTCTGCCTGTCTGTCTGTCTGTCTGTCCGTCCGTCCGTCCGTCCGTCCGTCTGTCTGTCTGTCTGTCTGTCTGTCTGTCTGTCTGTCTGTCTGTCTGTCTGTCTGTCTGTCTGTCTGTCTGTCTGTCTGTCTGTCTGTCTGTCTGTCTGTCTGTCTGTCTGTCTGTCTGTCTGTCTGTCTGTCTGTCTGTCTGTCTGTCTAATTCAATAATTTAAAGAAAATCATTCATTTTCTACTGTTTAGTGCATTGTTACACAAAAGCTTGTTTTTAAAACGTTCTTTTTGAATTTTCAATAAAATTCATTACTTAATTTATAAACACTCAAAACTTAATACAGTATTTATACACCTTTATGCGGCAACTTTTCGTTTTATAATTGTTAAAAACTGGTTCATACCGATTTAGCTCAGTTTTTAGAAAAACAAGTTTTAGTTCTTCTCTCCATTCCAACGACCCCCCCCCCAATCTGCCTGATACCACTTCACATAAATAAATCCCTCTAAACCTCTGAATGATCTGGTGATTCCCATTGAGTAATACCAAAATACCAACGTCTGTATGCGGGCACTCATCTGAGCTTTACCCTAACAACAGTTTAGCTACTGTAATACCATAGCTGCTGCGCCAGTCAATTTCATCAATGTCACTGTAATCCTAAAGCACAGCGTCAACACCGCATACACATACACTTTGGTAACAAACAATCAAACTTGTAACTCCACATAATATCATAATAATATCATATGTGTTGTATAATCAGTGCTTACACTGGGTTTTAAAAAAAATTGTGCGGGATTAAAATGTTTCTAGAGAATGGAATTAAAAGATTTCCAGCAGGATAATTGTGCAAGAAAAAAATACAATGCTAAACATTGTGTAATCTGGAGCAAAGTATTATCTTATTTATATTCTTTGCAAGTGATAACAAACTGTTAAATCTTTCTGTATCGTAATGGATAGATTGTGTCACAGAAAATATAGATACAGATACAACAGATGAATTGTTTTGCTAAAGAATAATAATCCCTGAGTTTTAATCACATCAGCCAATTTAGCTTTATATTAACATTAAAATATTTACTTTAATATATTGTTCGTGCTACAGTTGCCTATAGTTTATTTCCCGCATTCATTTGTAATTCATTCAACTCCAATGTGAAATGCTAGGCCTGGATTTGGTTTGCAGCTTACTATAGAGGTGACACTTCCATAATATTATTAGTGTCTTGTTTACATTTAGAATTGATATATTGAGATGTATTGATACGTTTGATTAATTCATTTTAGTATGTCTCGAGACAAAAAATTGATCAGTCGACCAATATTGTCCTTAATGCTTTACATATTTTGCAGAGGTATATATATTTTGTCTGAGATCTTTTGTCTGAGATCTTTTGTCTGAGATCTTTTGTCTGAGATCTTTTGTCTGAGATCTTTTGTCTGAGATCTTTTGTCTGAGATCTTTTGTCTGAGATCTTTTGTATGAGATCTTTTGTCTGAGATCTTTTGTCTGAGATCTTTTGTCTGAGATCTTTTGTGCGGGGTAACTCGGGTATTTTACCCCTGGGATATACTGTCTTGAGATATTTATCCCTGATCTATTTTGTTGTGAGATATTTTGAAATAAGACAATTAATTAATAAGTAATTTGTCTAATTAGATTATTAATGTCTCCAATATCTTCATTATCAAAAATCACGTACAACTATTTCTATACCTTGTGCAACCATTTCTATACATTGTACAGCCATTTCTATACATTGTGCAACCATTTCTATACATTGTACAGCCATTTCTATACATTGTGCAACCATTTCTATACCTTGTACAACCATTTCTATACATTGTGCAACAATTTCTATACATTGTGCAACCATTTCTATACCTTGTACAACCATTTCTATACATTGTGCAACCATGGCTATACCTTGTGCAACCATTGCTATACCTTGTGCAACCATTGCTATACCTTGTACAACCATTGCTATACCTTGTGCAACCATTGCTATACCGTGTGCAACCATTTCTATACCTTGTATTAATTGTATAACTATTGCTATACCTTGTATTAGTTATATAACTATTGCTATACAAATTACACAGCTGACCGCTATTGGCGTTACAGTGGATCTCAAAAAGATCCAGGCTACCCTAAGCTTCTACCTAAGGCCTTCACTGGAGTCACAGCCGGCATGCAGTGGGCCGATGGAGGAATTATTCTTTTTAAAGTAGCTTTTACATTCATTCAATAATTTGATGCCATTATTTAAAAAACATATATTGTAAATAAAAATTATTTATTTAACTTGGTAATGCCAATAAATACATTAATGGGGCAAGTCAAATGGGGCAGATGAGCTTGGCATACAGGGGATAGTGTGGTCAGCACTGTGCCCAGTCACCTTGGAATCCCTATCGTGAGTAAGGTACCCATTAGAGCTGGGAGGACTCAGGAAAGTCCTACAGACTCGAACCCGGTATCCGAACTCAAAAAAATCGGGTTAGCAGCCGAAAGCACTAATGTCCTACAACGTCTTTCCCTTATCAACTAAAAATACAAATCATTTACTTTTTCCAATACGTCGACCCCCCCCCCCCCCTCCTCTCTCGATCTTACGCTTATTTTCTTGACAACAGAACGCCGAGTTTTTCAGGTGGTCAGAAAATGTATCTGGCCATTCCAGCGGGTTCCCTCGGCGGGTGTCGGAGTTCTGGAAAGGATTGCCAGATCAATTCGATTCAGTCTTCAACATTTTCGATGGCTTCATCTAATTCTTTAAGGGACTCAAGTATGTTCTTAACTCGTGTTAGTAGAATCAGGATAGAACTCGTTAAACAATTCATTAACGTAGCTGTAATTAGTGCTTTCGTCTTCGATAAAGCAGGACGTTTAGTAACATAAAACATATTGGTATGTAACATTTTTATTTCCAAGAATCAAAGTTAAAAGGTAACGCTTTAGGTAAATGTTTTGATAGGTTATACGCTAGAGGACTAGAAATGATCTAGTTTATAGCTGAGGTCGTGACTGGTGACCGAAACTAAACGTGATCGGTGTTCGATTCATGTTACGATTCATGTTACGTTCAGTCTTCAGTCCAAGTCAGACAATCGTCTCTATATAGTTAGACTTTTGAACCTATTTGAAATTATTTGTTTATTGGATACACGTATATTTACTTGTCCTAACGTAAATGAATTACCTATTCGAGCTAAGTGGACTCAGAGACGCCATACGGACTCGAGTCCGGGATCCGAACACGAGACTTTGTGGCTAGCGGTTATGCACACTACCGCCCGACCACGGCGTCCCTATTTTGTATATAGCTGGTCAAAGCCCTGAACGTATTCCTAAAATACTTTGTTTCCTGTGTTAGAGGTATCTAATATAAACAGATATCCGAAGATATTCCTAAAATACCATGTCCTGTGTTGGGGGTATATAACATAGCTAAAACACAATGTCCTGTGTTCCAGATACTGGAGGTACGACTCCCGGTCCCAGCTCTCTGCCGGCTACCCTCGGGACACTCGGCCCTACTGGCTCCACTGCCGGGTCAGCTCTATCCTTAGCCCACTCGTGTCGGAGCTAACCTTGGCCAAAACATCATAGCACATCCATACACACGACCAGAGGATACGCCGCTGCATGGGTAAATCGGACAAGCCTATAGAAATGTGCAACACATGTAAGCGATGTTGCCCTTAACAACACAGGGCACAGAAAAATAAAAGTCAATCCACAGAACCCAACCAGTCTCAATACACTTTTAGGAACCTACAAGACAAACTTGTTAAAAAAAATAATCCATCAACGGTCTAAATAAAGTAATATATTGTAAGTGGTTGAATTTCATATCCTCGTATGTATGTCTACTGGTACATGTGCCAAATGTGCATGCTTTTTTGCATATACGCTTGCCAGGGGCGTATCCAGGTTTTCGTTGTCGGGGGAGCGAAATGAGCAAAAAAGGCGCCGAATATATATATATATATATATATATATATATATATATATATATATATATATATATATATATATATATATATATATATATATATATATATATATATATATATAATTACTAGATGTATGTCATAACTTCGCTATGATGTAAAATAAATTGTATGTAGCACTTGAAGAAATAAGAAAAAACACGCAATGTAGGCCGACAAAACAAATAAACCGGGAGTGATCTCCCCTAAACTTTCTCGAATATTCTTATATAAAATAACAGGGGATGGGAACTCGGGCTATAGACATGATTTTTAATCCATTTTAAATACTTAAAGTTTTAAAAATAGAATAAAATCTCGTAGACAAATTAATTGCACACCAAGTGAACGCGAAATAAAAAAGCGCATAATAGTGCGCAATATTATTATTACTTTTAAAATTTACATTAGTTTTTTGAGAAATCGGAAGTAGCGTAAAGTACTACTTCCAGTCAACGGAAATGACTCAAAATTTAATAGAAGGTAGAGAATTAGATCTTTTACTTACGTATGAAATTTCATTTATCTATCTGAAATAGTACTCAAGTTATAGGCTTTTGAAAAATTCAAAGTAGAAAAAGTACCACTTCCGGTTGTCGGAAATCGCTCAAAAGTTGATACGTATCTACGATTTTGATAAAATACTTATATATGAAATTTCATCAACCTAGCTGTAACGGTACTCAAGTTATCGTGTTTACACACGGACACACACACACACACACACACACAGACACACAGACATACGGACAAGATTGCAAAATTATGTTTTTCCGTATCAGTGAGATGCAAAACGTCGAGATTTGCAAAAATCTCGATTTTTTTTTTTTGCACGATTACAAGACTTTCTCTATACTTCGTATATACGAGAAAGTAAAAATGTATCAATCTAATATATATATATATATATATATATATATATATATATATATATATATATATATATATATATATACTACAACCAAAAACAATAAACGCAACACAATCTGTTTCGTAATTCTTGTAAAAAAATTTACATAATAATTCCTGGGACATTAATTAACACAAATGAAATAGGGGAAATAATCATTCTCTTAATATAAATATGTATATATCTACATATTTAATTATAAATGTCAAAACAAATCAATAATTACTTTACAATGTAACGAAGTTGTTTAACAATATTCGTGTTTACAAAACTTTTTTGTCTACAATCAGAATTAAATATATCGTCATCATAAATTGTAAAGTATTAAAAATCAAAGTTGGTATAAAAACACGCTTTAAAATATAATAGTCCAACATTCGGAATAAGAGCTAACATTTAACTAAAATGTCGGTCTTTTAGTTATGATCATACATCTTTTAATTAACTACTGCACTTTGTGTTCTTAAAAGATCATTTTTGAACATAGTGATCAGGTATAAGTTAGATCTCTGTATTGATCACACACCTTTTTACTGGTAATTGCAAAAATAATATTCACAGAGTTTTACCTGTTTCAAAAGCTATGATTCTGGCGGCAAGAAATCTGTATATATAAAGTAATTATGTGTGAAGATTTATGTATAATACTTTCTAGATCAATTATTCTTAAGCAAATACATTATACAGTTGCCTTAAACTTAACACCCCTCTTGCCAAGTGGTACTACCCGTAGAGGTTTTTAACAATTGTAATACATCGTAATGGTTATTTTTAGAATGAAAAACTTGATACAGCTGTTAATTCGTGCTGTAAATTTTGACGCTACTAGACTAGTACAATTCTGTTTAATTGCTGCATGAAAAGAAATCTTGTGATTTACATAGATGTGCCGACCAAAAATAATTTTTAAACAAAACTCATTGTTTAAAACTTTAAGTTTAAAAAGTTTCCAAAAAGGCGCCACTTTGCTGAAAATGACCAGAGGGGGAGCGGCCGCTCCCCCTGCTCCCTTCCTGCGTACGCTACTGACTTGCGTAATTGTGTGTGTATATGGATGTGTGTGTGTCCGTGTTTAGGACACCAAATAGGTGATTATTTTGTAAATACGTTTCCGTAATTGTGTTAATGTGAGTGTGTGAGAGTGTGTGCCACCAAATGAGTGATCATCGTGTTAAGTATTTCTATCTTACCGACACCGCCAAATGTAACAGACGGTTGACGTTCTTGTTAGGTTGAGTTCAACACCTTCTCGCACGGTCAAATAATATTTAGTTGTACAATTTTCGAAAAACCAAAATCAGATTATTCTGATGCTTGATACTTGCTGTATTAATATCATTGATTTAGTACAAGACTTTACAAAATGATGTAATTTTAAATATTTTTTAAACAGCTAAACAACCTAAAAATCTTGGCTTCAGCATTCATTAAAAAAGAGCACAAAATACATTTCTAATGTCTCCAAACTGTTCAGCAAACATTTGATCCTTGATGCAATTCTGGATAGTCTTCCATTTGAATGTCACGGCCAAGATGACCATCTAAGAAAGCTTGACCACCAGGTGTCGGACCACGAACAAAGGACACATTCTCTAGCTGATTATAAGAAGCTAATTCAATCTCATAGCCACTCCTATAATATTTAACAACACTATTCCATTGAGCATAGTCTGTTAGATTTAGTCCACCCACAAAATGGCCACCCACAAAACGTCCACCCACACAACGCCCACACACAAAACGTCCACCCACAAAACGTCCACCCACAAAACGGCCAACCACAAAGCGGCCACCCACACGCCGGCCACCCACACAACGCCCACACACAAAACGTCCACCCACAAAACGTCCACCCACAAAACGTCCACCCACAAAACGTCCACCCACAAAACGTCCACCCACACAACGCCCACACACAAAACGTCCACCCACAAAACGTCCACCCACAAAACGTCCACCCACACAACGCCCACACACAAAACGTCCACCCACAAAACGGCCACCCACAAAACGTCCAGCCAAGCCTCTCAAACGTCGGCCCGGCTCCAACACGCCGAGGTCCCGAGATCCCCGAGCAGAACAAGGTACAGTAGCCGCTGATAAACTGTTCCGTTTAAAACATTTTCTGTCTTACGGCCATGATTAAAATGCAAAAAAATAATATTTTTTTAAAAAACTTGCCGTGTTAGCTAGCTTATTGTGTAATGTAACGTCCTCAGTTGCTGATGGTAGGATCTACGTCTTTAAGAGAGAGTTTATGTACTGGTTGACGCCCGAGGGGGTGTCTAGCCCCCGCAGGATCAGTGATGTGTACCCTGACGCCCCGAACTCCCCAACCACTGTTGTGTACGACATAGTTTGTAGACATCTGTTTATTTTTAGATGTGAGTAGCTCGTTCTTTTATATCAAATCACACACACACACACACGTACGCGCACACACACACACAGAGATATTTGTATATATATATATATATATATATATATATATATATATATATATATATATATATATATATATATATATATATATATATATATATATATATATATATATATATATACTAGCTGCATACCCGTGCTCCGCAACGTTAAATCTTTTTTAAATGTACCAACTTGGGAACAGAAAAAAACTAAACACAACGCAAACACAAACACATCAAGTGCACAAAAGAAAACACAAACACAAAAGAAAAAAACAAATAAAAACACAATTGAAAACACAATGGCAATGCAAACACAAATGCAAACGCAAAAATAAAAAAAAAAGTAAAAGAACAAACATTACACTAATAACATAAACACAACTTAAGTACAAACATAAACGCATAGTGCTCACAGTCTAGCCCGTGGCGCACAAATCACACCATGTCCGAGCGTTGGCGGACGCGCCTGACTCAGTGAATGCCTATAAAACCCCCAGCTTGTCCGCAAACGGAAAAATAGAATACTAATTAGTAAATAGTGCGTTCAGGATATAAAATAAAAAAAAGGCAGAATATAATATATCCGTGTTTTCCCTACCATATTGCACTTTATCAATTCATGTATATTTTCAGTACTTATGATTAAAACCATTGCGCACCAAACGAACATGATGACGTGTGTATAGTAATGCGGAATAGTTGATTAAAAATTATAATTAGTAAACAATCCGTTCAGTGAAAAAATAAATAAAAGATAGCCTTTCGTCATTCCATGCTAATTATAATAGTTCAACAATAATGTCCTTTTACATTCATATTTTCCTAAATATATTATTCCAACAATAATTCCCTCTTGGAGATTTTGCAATCACATTTTTTTATTAGCGTGCGGTGAATTTTTTTTTAAAATGACAACTCCTGGCATAACTATTAAAAGATTTTAATTAATTAGTTTTTTCGACCCTACTGTTATTAAATGTATCCAATTTTTCTAGGAATCTAAACGAAAATGATATTTGTGATTGATTCGTTAAATATGTTTTAGCGATTTGCGTGTATTTAATATTTTCTTTACGTTATGCGAAAGAGTAAAAGCAGTGGCAACTATAAAATACATTTAAGTCGTTATATAAACAAACCCTTGTTTATTACTTATAATAAGACACTGCGATGCAAGTAAAAAGCACGACATGTGATGTGTTTAATTTTATGGATCTAAAATCTATAGCGATAACGAAATTACTGACACACTACCGGCCCGCTTATACTATAGATTCTAATCAAGCCTGAGCCTAAATTAGAGCGATGCGAGAAGCAGTAACAAAGAAACTTTATTCAAACACAATTTTCTTTACCAAAGTTTTTGATTGTAGTCGTAAACAGAGATGCCCTTGGGTTAGTAGCATAAAAGGGGCAGTACTGTAGGAGTACAGGCCCTTTTGATCCCAGTTTCTCTGTAGTACCAGCTTGTGATGTGTGCTACCAAAATAATGCTAAACTTATTTCATAAGCAGGAATAAGCATCCCACCAACACAATGATGCAACTACACACAAAAAAGTGTTGACATACAATTAAATGACACATATCTGGTATAAATCATTGTTTTAATTTTTTTTCATTCATAAAGATTTATACTTCAGAATTAAACTGTCAAAATTTTATTTAGATTTCTCAAAAAAAAGCTATTTTAGAGAGCTAATGTTTTATAAGATTAAGCATAGTTTGATTTTCTTATTTTCATTTCAACAAAGTCGAGACTTTGCCATGCGTTGGTCAGACTAGCCCAGTAAATTCCTCTGCACCATTCCTTTGATCCCCATTCGCCAGTTAGATAAGCATGGAAGCAGTTGTTAAACCACCACCCACCACTGTAGTTTTTTGAACAGTACGTGCTGGTTGGTTTGTCGTATGTGTAGAACCGTCGTCCATTGTGATTACGTAGCGCATTCCCAACGTTTCCTGTTAAGACACCAACGTGAAGCGTGTAGAACTGGGCCTCGCTGTCGATCTTAAAAGATCTGTAGTGGCCGTAGTAATTTTTACCTCTAAACTTCATGTCCACTCTTAAATCCCATTTTCCGTTCTGCCGAAAACAGTAGGTGAACAATTTTGTAAATGATAAATATATGCACCTAATCGTTCTTATGTATGAGTATGTGTATGTATGTATATGTGTATGTATAGGGGAAAATATATGTACATGTTTATGCATCAGTGTATTATTGTTACTTTGTAAATGTATACGCAAATGTATAAGAGAATTTTTTTTTTCTGTATGTGTATTCATGCTTGTATGTAAACGAATTTGTGTATGTAAAGAAAGAAACATGAGTATATGAATAACATAGATACAATAAGAAATGCATACTTTACTCATACAAGTTGAACTAACTTACTCGGGTTAACTTGTGTAATCGTTCCAATCCTTGCCAAAAGTCACCATCTAAGGTTCCAAATCCGTCCCTGTAATCGGACCAAGGTCTTGCAAAGTTGACATCTCCAACACAACGGCGCTGAAAGAAAATACGTTATAAAAATAGGTTTAAAGCTAAAACGTTACTTGAGTTACAGATAATTCTAAGCAGATCTTCTATTTTAATGTTTTATATAAATATTTACTTTTGTAATTCTGTAAAATATGTGGTTTATAACGGATAAAATAAACAAATTAATAATTGAAAATATTATTAAAAATATTGTCATTTTAAGAATTGCAGATTCCCAATAACTTATTCCACAGACACTTAATTGTGATAATTAATCTCTTACCCTAGAGTGGGTCAGGTGTGTGTGTATTAATTTACCGTAATTATAGAATCACTAATTTTTAGATTAGTGCTAGCAATAATAATTAACATATTCTGATTATTTTTGTTTGTGTGGCAATTACGATAGAGAGGGTTTTTGTGTGAGTAATAATTGACCGTAATTATAGAATCACTTTGTGTGGCGATTACGATAATAAATAATCACAATTTATGTAAACAGTTCCATTGCGTTTATAGTAGGCCTATTTAAAGAATAAAATAAAACTTATTATCTGTTTTTTTTTTATAAATTAGACTCTTTTATTTATTTTCAAATAAATAAAAAATATTTAGCATTTATAAGTTCTGATCTTTAAAAAAAATTGGACAATTGACAAAAAAAAATAATTAAAACATTCACATTAAGTGTATTTTAACACCCTAATAGACAACCGAGTTTCCCTTTGGAATTCCGTCTATCTACTTCAATATCCTACCCAGTGGCGGAACTAGAAAAAAAGGGCCACCCCGCAAAGAAATTTTTTGGGCCCCATATATGTATAATACATACATATATATATATATATATATATATATATATATATATATATATATATATATATATATATATATATATATATATATATACGAAAATACCAACACAGAATACTCATTTTGGGCTTGTTCGAAAATTTAAAAATAAAATCACTAAAAATACTTAGTTTTTATTAAAAAGTAAAAACAAGTTACAACAGCTCATTTGTGTGACTGCTATAAGCCTGTTTTGAAATCTTTGTTTTAACATGTTTTATTGTTTGCTATGATGCCTCCATGAGTAAGACGGTCGAAATAATATAAAGCATGAAAGCTGTGTATGTGTAATGGTTTCTCGCCTTATGTTTATTTTTATGTTTTTTTTAAAATTATATTATTAGCTTTAAATGCATTTCCTTTTATGCTTTGTTATTCTTTATTATGTATTTTTTTTAAAAATAATAATTAAGAGAAGTAATTGCTTTTTAATTTGTTTAGTGCAAATTTATTAAAAGGTGCTTAAGAGCACACATATTTGACTATTTAAAAAAGGGAAACAAGTCATGGAAGTGGTTTCAACAATTGCGTATCTTTCACGCGATGGGTCTATTTTCAAAAGAATTTTGCCGACAACAGCGTGTGTTTGATTGTAGGAGAAATGGGACTTGAGATGGTGTCTATAGAATAAAGATAATCCAACCGCAGCTGCAGTATTCTTTTTACAAAACAACCATGAAGTCAAAAATGAAAGAAGATTATTTTTTTTAACTGTAAAAAATGGATTATGGTCAGCTGCGGGCCCCTAAACGTCCCGGCCCCCCCCCCCCCGCAATGCGGGGTCTGGCGGCACTGTAGTTCCGCCCCTGATCCTACCTCAAGTTCTGACACTAAGAACACTCTTCTAACGTTAAATACATGCTACAAAATCGTGACACACACACTATTTAATCTGTACTACAAAAAAAGTTACAACCATATATATATATATATATATATATATATATATATATATATATATATATATATATATATATATTAACGAAAGTTAAATTTGATGAGTGTGTATTGGGTTTAAACAAAAAAATTCACACAAGCTAGTTTTCATGTTTTACAAATTATACCAGCATCACTATCCATCCACCGTTCTTTAATACCAATTCATTGTACCGATCTCTATCATAGTTCACAAAGCCACCTGCAATAACACATAAAAACATAATGTGTGAAAGCGAAACAAATTTTAATATGCAACTCTTATTAAGATGGAAATCTGTATATATGGTACTAACAGCAAAAAATGTACCTTTATTTCTTTTGTTTTATTTTTCTTTATTTTAAATATTTTTTAATATGTCTAAATTCTAGATCTAGAATGTAGACCAATTACACAATGAATAACTTAGTTTCTTTACTAAACGAATTCATTCAGGCCTTAATTATTTTTTATATATTTTTTTTCAATGGAATAGACCAAATTAGGTTATAATTTAATTTAAAATAATATTCGCGTAATTTTACTTTCTTGCGCGGGCTAAAATATAGTATCTCAATATATTTTCTCCAATTGCTAGGTAGGCTTACCTAGCTGGCCGAGTTGATAGTGTAATAGACACCATGTTGGTGGTAAGGATTCGAAACTTATTATGTCAATGTTAACATTTTGTGTTTTACTTTTCCCACGTAGAAAATGTGATGTCTGGCTTTTTGAGACGGCGTGTGACAGTAGGGAGGGGTGGAGTAACATAAATGTGGGGTCTGGCTTTTTGAGACGGCGTGTGACAGTAGAGAGGGGGGGAGAGAAACATAAATGTCGGGCTGGCTTTTTGAGACGGTATGTGACAGTAGGGAGGGGGGGGGGGGAGAGAAACATAAATGTCGGGCTGGCTTTTTGAGACGGCATGTGACAGTAGGGAGGGGGAGATGAAACAGGAAAATAGTCAAATTTCAGAGAAATTGGTTTGGTAGAAGTGGTCCGAATCTGCTCGCCAGTTTCGATCCATGACGGACGACATAAGCCCGACAAGAGCACAAGAGACATTCAGATAGAGCAAGTTAAATAAAAGATTGTAAAAAGAAGGTACGATTGTAATAGACATGAAGGACAGGTAATGAGATGGATAGGAAATTTAAAGAATAATCTAAATTATCGGATTTGGCTTCTTCGATTGTGACTTTTGTCAAGGATTGAAACAAATACACCCGTTAACCAAACTGAGTTCGTGTGCAACGTGTATGAGTAGAAATGTGGAAGTATTTCTTCGATTATCTATATTGTGCATATACATATATTTATTTGTTTACATATGCACACACATGCTTAAACACATAAAAAAAAATCAATTTTCTTATGCATTTTGCGAATACATTTACAAAGAAATATAAATACTTTGATACATAAACATGTGCATATATTTACATTTATACATACACATCTCGCCTACATACATACACATTGTCACACACAAGTACGTTTAGTTGTGCGTATGAATCATTTAAAAATTTGTCCACCTACTGTATTCGGCAGAAAGGAGAATGGAAGATAAGGGTGAACATTAGGTTCGAGGGCAAACATTACCCAAACTAAGAGGAATGTCAATATTATCTATGCCAGAATATTTTTAAACAGCTATGTTGGAAAGAGTAAAAAATGAAATAGGAATTAGAAAATCAACCTACCAGGAAAGATACAAATGTTGGCAACCAACACCGCAGCAAATATTACAGCAACCATGATAAAATATTGTGTTGTTGTCTCAGCTCATCGACCGTATTTTAAGCGTACTTCGTCTGATGACGTGACTAAATCCAAAATTTAATTATTCTTTATTTATTTACTAGGCCTTATGTTTGTGTTATAGATTAATTCTTTTTAGTTTAGTGTTTATTTTATTAACTGTTTAAACGTTTAAATACGCTTTTTAAATTGGTTTTAATTTAATTTAATACTACTGAAGACATGATCAGATTGTTTTGATGTCGCGGTGGATTGACCTTGTTTATAGCTTACTTCATATGTTGACGTCATTAAATCCAAAATTTAATTATTTTTAATTTGTTTACTAGACCTAGTGTGTGGTTGTGTAATTAATTTTTATTTTAGTATTGTGGTTACTTTAAAAAAATCTGTTTAAATATTTAATTATTTTTAAAAAATGGCTTTAATTTAAGTTTAAAATTGTTTTAATTAATTTAAAAGCTGCTTTATTGAATGTTCTAAACCAGTGGTTCCCAAACTTTTTCGAGTGGCCACCCCTTTTTAAAAATGTAAGTGACTCGAGACCCCCATGGAATAAAAAAGTCGGAATTAATAAGGAATTTTCATAAGGACTAAAGTAAGATTTTCTTGTAGACTTTCAAATTGAATTATTCTTAATAAAATTTCATGCTATTAAATAGCCTCAACATTCGCAATATACATTTTGTTAACGCCAATCTCATGTAATTCTCAACATTTAATTAATTTCTATGTTTAATTTTTAATTGGAAAAGTGTTGAAAATCTATTCTCGCAAAGGAACTAAAACTAGAAAGGAAATCAATCACGTTTGGGTATTAATTGCTCCGTACTACACCAAACATGTGAGCAGTTTTTCATATGACGCGGAGTCATTCCGCATATAAATGCCCCGAGGTAATATTCGTTCATTTTGTATGTTGATGTTCGAATATATTATCTGCTAGGTATGATACTCTCTCCATCCACATCATGTCGTTAAAGTATATCAAAATGTCTTGTTTAACTTGGACTTCCAAGAGCAACTTGATATCATCTTTCAATAAAAAAACCACGATTCACAATATTTCTTTTTGATAGCAAGCGTACTGCATTGTAGAAAAAATCAAAACCTCGTGATCTTTATTCATGTCTTGGCACAGTTCTTTAAACAGACAAGTGTTTAGGGCTCCAGATTTAATATAATTTACGACTTTTATTAGCAATAGAGTCGGAAGAGTTTTTGGTAAGGGCATACCGGTGAATCATGCAGTGGATTCCCCTTGGTTAGGGAGCTTAATCTTTTACTGTTATTTAGAAAGCCCGATTTCGCCCAAACATAGATGGCGCACTATCTGTACAAACCCCAGAGCCCTTTTCCCATTTTAATAATCCAGTTTCAAAAACGCATTTATTTTCTCCATAATATATTCACAAAATAGCAACTCTTCGTTGCTATCATCTGACTAAATTTATTTCAGGACACAGGACATGGTAGTTTAGTTATGTTAGATAACTCTAACACAGGACATGGTAGTTTAGTTATGTTAGATACCTCTAACACAGGACATGGTAGTTTAGTTATGTTAGATAACTCTAATACAGGACATGGTAGTTTAGTTATGTTAGATAACTCTAACACAGGACATGGTAGATTAGTTATGTTAGATAAATCAAACACAGTACATGATAGTTTAGTTATGTTAGATAACTCTAATCCAGGACTACCCCCCTACCCCTCCAAAGAAAGTTCACCGACCCCCCCCTCCCCCGAACGAAATGAAATTTATATAGAAAACAAATCCTTTAACCAGTGTCCGCCCCCCCCCCCTCCCCAGAAATATCAAAAACGTGGTCACTTTAGTACTTTAGTACCTATTGGATACCTTTACTAATATTTGAGAAGAGACCGACGCTTTTCTTTATAGTAATTTAAATAGTAGTGTATAATTTATTTTCTACTTTTTAGTGCATTAGTACACAAAAGCTTGTTATTAAAACGTTTTTTTATTAAAAAAATTCAGTACTTTACATGTTTTATTTACAATAATGTTACATGACTAAAAACCATTGCGCGTCTATTGAACGCGATGGCGCAGCTATTGAACCTGATGGCGCAGCTATTAAACGTGATGACGCGTTTGGTGTGGTTGGATAGACATGCCTACTAATTCGGTCCAAATTTTAATTAATCCATAAATAAATAATTAGGCATCCAATTAAGTCAAATTTAGTTTCAGATTGCATTGTCTTCATGTCTTGACCCACGTGCCAACTGTGAATCGTATCGGTCAAGTAGAACTGTCCGAATTTTCTCTCGGCGTTTTGATCTAGACAGATAGACAGACAGACAGAGGAAGTGAGTTAAATAAAAGCTTGTAAAAAAATTCATAGAAATATAGGCGCGCTTTACACGTGAGATACTATGCAATCAACAGGCCGTGTTCTTTAGGGCACACTTCACTTAAATCTATTTGCAGTTTTTTAGACGGGAAAAGACGCTTATTAATGGTCAGTTAAAAATAGCGAAATACGAATAGCCTCCTGGGGGCTATTTGTAGTAAAGTATCACTAGACACTCCCTATTTATAATAATTAGCTTATTATTAAAAAAAAGTAAAAACAAACAAATAATTAAAAATAAAAGAATTTGATAAAATGTGATGCGGATCACGTGAGATCCGAACCCACACCTCCTAGCAAACTACTAGAACGCAACCACTCGACCACCCGAATCAGTTCAAAATCATGTAAAATGTAGAAATGAGTTTTCGGAACATAATTGTCTAATGTTATTCTTTTATTTCTTTCCATTTATTTAGCGTGTGCAGGCATTACACTACGTACAAGCACGTCAAATTATAAATTTATACATTAAACATTTTCTTCTTATAACACAAGTAGCATTTTAAAGTCTCTAGTCTCTGTAAGAAGGCCTACAAGTACATTACATGATCACTAATTAATCATTTTCCAGAGAGAAAAGTCTCAAAATACACTTTTTCACGTATCTAAACAGATTTTCCCACGTTTTACCAGCTTTATTCTTTTTTTAGCATGTTCGTTATTAGGCTATACCTGAATGTTTTCAATCACATTTTAAACGGCGGATAACGCAAAGTCTACTAGATCTACTCTAGATCTAGGCTAACGGAACAATCTAAAAATTCTCTAGTTCTAAGGCCTATAGACTAAACCTTCATATATACAAAACAAATACTTTGCCTACATTTTAGATTCGCCAAGGAAAATTATCTCTCACTGTTCATAAAATAGGAAGCTGACGAACAGATGACGAGGTTGCACCACACCCCGACATGGAGCAGTTTACGCTTGTTTTAGAGATTCAAAATATTTACTGCGCATGCGTAAATAGGACGGTGTTGTTGGGCAAGAGAGTGTGTGATTGGTTACTCCAAACGTCCCGTGTTCAAATCCCAGGCAGACGATGCTCGTTAACTAGGGGCAGCAATCCAAACAATTCATCTTACCATGAATTCCACCCCGGTTGTCTCCCCTATTTACAAATACCATTTTTATAATTACAGCTGTAGAAAGTCACCCCCACAAAGACAAGTTGTACACATTTCAAGACATTGGTTTGAATGTGAAAATCCATTGTTAAAGATTTAAATTAATGTATTGCTCTGCAATCATATTAACTTAACAATGATATTAACTTAACAATGATATTAACTTAACAATGATATTAACTTAACAATGATATTACAGCAGCATTATTGCTTTCTAAAGTGGCCACATTTTTGTTTAGATAATTTTAAATAAAAAATGATAATCAACAAATAATTAAAACCAGCATTTAAAACTGACCTTGCATTGATAACAATATATACTAACTTAGCTACTGCACTGGCTTTATCTGATGATACACACTATCCTAGCTGCTTGACGTAATGTAAGACTGTTAATATGGTAATGTACTGTATACTATGGTGTGTATAAGAACTGTTGTTAATAGAAGATAGCACTGAGGAATCCTAACCGGTTCTAACTTCTTTTTCTTCGTTCATAATTTTTAGTGTTGGAAGAGATCGAGCCTTATCTGCCAGAGGGTTCGAACTAGTGACTTTTCGATTTAGCAACCATGAGCTTTACCGACTCGACTACGCCGACCCTCCAGTTCTAACAACTCTGGAGTTGTTCGGGTCGCTCAAGGTAGCTGAACTGAAAAGTCCCGAGTTCAAACCCAAGAGCAGTAGAGGCTCGTTAGCTGGGGACAACAGCAACTCCTCTAGGAGAGACAACTCCAAAATCAAACAACTGCTGCCTTGTAGTTTGCCAGAGGGTTCGAACTAGTGACTTTTCGATTTAGCAACCATGAGCTTTACCGACTCGACTACGCCGACCCTCCAGTTCTAACAACTCTGGAGTTGTTCGGGTCGCTCAAGGTAGCTGAACTGAAAAGTCCCGAGTTCAAACCCAAGAGCAGTAGAGGCTCGTTAGCTGGGGACAACAGCAACTCCTCTAGGAGAGACAACTCCAAAATCAAACAACTGCTGCCTTGTGTTAGACGGAATCTCTTCCAATATTATAGTAGCTTCTGTTCTTATACCGATTTTGAGGTTGTAAAATGGATTTATGAAATTCCCAATTTTTAAAACTGATGGTTTTAACTTGATATTAAGAAAAGTTTCATGTAGGGAAAATCCTCTAGCAACTTATTAGCTACACTCCACATATTCGATTAATGTCTAATTGTTAAGAAATGTTTCAAGTGTTCTATTTTTATGGTGTTGTTAGAATTAAGTTAAAAAAAAAAACATTTTTTTTAATTTGATGAGAAAGTAGAATGTATCATAAATGTATTATATAAACATTTGTTAAGTAAATTGGAAGCACTATAACACAGTAAAACGACACCCACATTTTTTATTTTCTATATTACATTAAATAATATCGTAAAATCTACCTCAAATATTTTACTCTCTATATTCAACTTTACAGCGTAAAATTTACTGCATATTTTTTACTTTGTTTTACATTATAAAAAATCAACCTCACATTTCTCATACTTTCTGTATTGTAAAACCAACTTCATTTCAACAGCTATAAAAGTTAAGTATGAAAAAAAATAATTTGAATAATACAAAATTCATGATATAGTTAGTCGCATCTTGGTTATCCCCCTCAAAACAAACACTTTTTGAATTAAATTGCAGATAAAAATACCTCACAAAAAAGCTGCACAAAAAAAAATTCACTTATAATGCAACATTCGAATGGTATTAAAGATTTTTAAATTAATCATGTATTGTTCAGGTATTGTTCAGCTTTATAAAAATTTGGGATCATTACTTATCCGTCCTACTCAAACTTTGCTGCATTTCTTCTAATAATATTTTAGTAAACCAATAATTGTTGTCAATGTATGAAAGAAACTGACTTTCTCTTTTTATTATGTAATTATATTTTAGGATAAATGTATCACTTATGATTCATACCACTGTATCTACACTACTGGCTGTATGGTGGTGATGCTTTGATATTGTAGTGTATTACACTTAAAAACCAGTATTCTGTAGAAAAATATTTTAAAAATGTATTTTGCCTACAAAATGTATTTATACTCTGTATTAATTAAAATTTAGTATATTACAAAATGTTTATCCATGCTCATGTTTAAAGTGAAGTAGTTTCATCAAGAAAACATAATAAAGGTTTATGAATTATGTCTTACAATTTATTAATAATGCTACATTTTAATGCTGGAGATTTTATTTGAATATTTTTAGTTAAAATTGCTCATACTTTCTACCAGTTTTGGTTTGACTCTGAAATAAAATGATTACAAACAATTTTTACAGAACAATTGATTTTATTAAAACCACTGAGCCCAAAATCTCACTAAACAGACACATTTCAAAAATCAAAAGTAAGGATGGTACAATAGTAGCAGTAATTCAGCCAAATATACGGGAGATAACACATATTTTTACATCAATACCCATTTAGGTCACCCAAAGTATTGCTCGATTGTCACTACAGCTAACAATTTTGATTTACCAGAAGTATGATTTTAAACAACAATAACATTATCATCATTTCATGCTATAAATATAAAGGAATTTTCTTACCATAAACTAATGGAAGATATATTTTTTAATGATAACGAAGACATTTTAACATTTTTAAAAAAGGTAATTGTAGAAACAATCTTGTTTACAAGAAATCCACATACACCCAATTGGTTAATTAAAAAAAGAAAATACCCCCCTCCCCTGACATGTAACCCAGAGCAGTTGCATTGAGGCCTATCTTTATTTCCTAGTGGACATCATAAATGAATGACCCCCCCCCCCCAAACACTCCTTCCCAAATACTAGGCACTTTAAAAACTGGGTGACGATTGTCTTAACTCTTCAACACATTCGAAGCATAACAAACACAAGTAAGGCTGTACACACATATGGAAGGATGTCTACACATGAAACAGCAGTCCCACTGTTTTGTACAGCAAATAACTCAACGGTGTCTGGAGTGGTTAACTTGTGCACTGTGGAGTTTAATGCTGAAATTAATAGTATGCATAAAACACACCGTATTTTCAACTAAATTAATTAAATAACAGAAAATCAGATATCTTATAATTTATTTAATTTTTTGTATCGCCAATTTTGGAACGGTACCCAGAAATAGAAAAAAAAACACTGGGGGAAAAATCGCAAAGAAAATTATTGCTTTCCGGAAATTTCGCAAATACAATATTTTACTTGGCTGTCACATTTAGTTGATGTTTTTTTCCTCATCAACCCAGAAATCCCAAAAAAAACTAACGTATTGCTTTAACAGACTTACTTTACAAAAAAAAACAACAGCATTGTATTCAGGTTTAAATTCATATTCCTAAAAAAAAAAGCATATAAGCTCAAAACTAAAATATAATATAGCTCTAATGAAGTGCACCCCCCCCCCCCCACACACTGAAAGCATAAAAAGCTAATTCATTAATCATTTCAAGACGCTTTTTTTACCCATTTATTCTCCCCATCCGAAAAAAATAAACAAAATATCAAACAAACAAACCAACAGAACACATATAAAGAAACTATTAAAAAATTTCAACATTAAACAAAGCTGTAAAACCTACTGTAACAAAGCTTCTCGTAGGTCCGGATGAATTGTTGATCCAGCTTACGGGTTTCATTACGATCATCATACACTGCCTGACACTTGAACGACTTGAGCAGTTCTCCACACCCAATCAGAAGCTCGAGAACAAGTGAAGGCTTTAAGTTCCTCTCATTCCGCTCAGCTTTCCCTACCCGTTTAGATCCCTTAAACCAGTGGTTCCCAACCTTTTTCGAGTGGCGACCCCCTTTTATAAAAATTAAGTGACCCGCGACCCCCATAGAATTAAAAAGCCGAAATTAGTATGGAAATCAATAAGCACTAAAATAAGATTTTCTAGTAGACTTTCAATATGAACTACTCTTGATAACTGTTTTAATACCATGACTAAGTTAAATTTTTTTAAAGTATTTTTTTTTTTAACGCCAACCTATGTCGCTATCATTATCATTATCTTAATTTTGTTTTTAATCGAAAAATAGTGTTCAAAATAAAATTATATTCTCGAAAAGTCAATCAATTTTACGTTTGGATATAAATGGTTAATACTACACGTGGATAATGCGTCAATGAAGATTCTTTTTAGCTCAGAGAAATAGCGCTGCAGTTCGTTTTCAATAGATTCAAGATGCCCAGAAATTTCTTCTTTCAAAATTTTAATTATCTCACAATAAGATTCATGTACCACACTGCAGAGTTTCTAAAATTTACAATATTTCCAAGGTTTATTTTCTTCGCCGATTTTGCAGCTTTGATAAAAATGCCCCGATATTATCATGGAAAGTGATAATATTCGTTCATTTTCCCTGAAGCTTCAGGTTATGCTTATGTTGATGTTCGAACACAACTTCTAGGTATGATACTCTCTCCAACCACTCTATGTCGTTTTAAGTATACCAAAACGTCTTGTTTCCTTTGCATTTCCAAGAACAATTTGATTTCAGATTTCAATTCAAAAACACGATTCACAACAATTCGTTTGACAGCCAGCGCACTGTAGTGTAGAAGAGCAGAACCTCGTGATCTTTATTCAGGTCTTTGCTCAGTTCTTTGAAGGCTCCACATTTTATATAATTTACGACTTATACTAGCAATGGAGTCTTGATGGCGATTGGTCACGGCAGTGGTTAGGGAGCTAAATCTTTTCTGCTTTCTGAAAGCCCGATTTTGACCTAAACATAGATGGTGGACCATCCGTACAAACCCTCACAGCCGTTTTAACCCATTTTAATCATCCAATTTTTAAAAAAAAACGTATTTATTTTCTCCATGCTATCTTCACAAAAGAGCAACTCTTCTTTACTATCATCTGAATGAATATAGACAAAGACCAGCAACTGCAAACACGAACTCGCGTCTGTTGATTTATCAACTTGAAAAGCAAACAATGGTGAAAGCTTGATTTCAATAAAAATGTGTTATTTAACATTTACGGACATGTAAGAATTAACTTCACCATCTTCAACATGCAGCGTTTGATGAGATTTTCTCCTATTGTGTTTTTTTTTTGCTTGGCATTTTGGGTCGTGACTTCATGTGATGCTTGCAGTAATGCTGTGTTTCCTTGGTGAAAACTTCCTGTTCGATCAAGTCTCTGACGTTTTCAACTAGCTTCATACCAGCGAAAGAACTCCATATCTTTTTAGGTGTCAAATGACGTTTTAGTTTTGAAGATTTCATAAACTCGTGACTGAGAACAACTTTGTACAGTACGCTTTGCTTCTTCTCTATTCCCTTTCCAGTGATGTTAGTAAAGCCAAATTTCAAAAATTCTTCTAAATATATATGTTTTGTTTCAAATTACTAAGGTTTAGTATACCAGTTGGCGACCCCCTAGAAAGCCCTTCGCGACCCCCAGGTTGGGAACCCGTGCCTTAAACATTACAACAGCACGAGGATAAGTGGTGACTTGGCAAATCACCCTGAACTCGTTCCCAATTTGTTCACCGTAGAATTCTGTCAAAATTAGCATAGGCTAAATAATTATACACATTAATTTTAAACTGATTTGTGTTAAATGTTGAAATAAACAATGGAGAGTTTTGAAAGTCATAAAGACTAATCATATGAAATATATCATTTTTTCAAGTCTTCAAAACCTACGTCAGCTGTTAACCTTAAGCTAACTCCAAAACATAAAAGGAACCAACTGAAAATATGGACCAAACTTTACCTCAAGCATCTTTTCGGGAGGGAGGGTGGGGGGAAGAAACACGACTACCACCCCTACCCCACCCCAAGGAAATAACATTTCTTTTGATTGAAAATATATACTTTTATCAGTGACCCCCTCCCCCTCCACTTACATCGACGTAGATGTTTAACAGCAGATTTGATAAGAAAGAAGGGCCCACTAGTATTTTATTGCTGATGAAACAACGGGCGTATAATCGTCTTCCTAGTTGTCTTCGTGAAAAGTAGCCTATTCATTCAGTTAATATCAAATAAGAGTTCCTATTTTGTAGTAGACTTGAAACTACTATAAAAAGGTAAAGATTTTATAAAGAAGATCAATACGTTTTTGAGACCGCTGGATTAAAGTGGGAAAACGTATCACGTTTTCACAATTGGCCAATAAAATAAAAAAATTGTTTAAAAAACATTTTTTACACATCCTGACAAACATACGACTCTCCTTAGATGGCTGACTTTCTAAGGACACATTAAAGACAAGGAAGGATAACTAGAATGCGACTACAATGTAACTCTACTAAAAATAACCATGGGGAAGAAGAAATGAGCAATACCAATTCAACACACAAAAGGAGAACTAACTACATCTAAGGATACGTAAGATTAACTGTACACCTAAGGATACGTATGAACAACCATGGAGCACTATTATTTAGGATAGGAAAGGATAACTAGCGCCAATTACAAGTAGGAGTATCTAAAGAAAGCTGGGTATAATTTTTAAAAATGCATGACTTTAATACAGCTGAGTGTAGATAACGATTACTAGTTAACTCCTACAACAATTTTGTTTTGTTCAAGCACGAAACATATTAAATTTCAAAATATACCTTGTTTTTGGCAGTGAGTTGTTGTTTTATTTTGACATTTAGGATAACATTTTCGCAAACGATGGTCATCATCGTAGATAAATGTGCCGATGGGGCACGGTAAACATTCTCCATTTTGCTCAAATGTGCCGCTATGGCAGCTGGCTTCGACGTTTGAGACAAAAACGCCAACCGCGAAAAAAAATGCAACCTGTGATGTAAAATAATATTTTAAGATAGACTTATATAATCATTAACAAATAAAGGTCATTAAAAGAATGATATTATATTTAAAATATATATTAAGAAGAGACGTTGTGCTAGGTAGCTCGCATAAGTGAAAACTAGAATGACAAGGAAAATAAAGCTGACCAAGCATGGCCACGTCATCCCTTTATATTTCGGAGTCACAGAAACCGATGCACCGCTTTTTAAAGGGCCCTATTAGCCATCACGTTGAAATTAGGTACCAGTTTCTTTGGGAGAGTGTGTCGGCTTTAATTGTTGCATTGGTAGTGTTTGACCTCATCACTGAACCTACTTAAACAAAGCGATCAACCGCCACTATAACGATCTACTTTCACGTCCACCATCAGAGGCCATTATAATGACCCGCTTCTACCATCAGTGGTCATTATAATGACCCACTTCCACTTAAGGACCATCCACAAATGACACGCTTTTTTTTGTACATTTTTACCTCCATACTACCCTCCGTCACACCTCGTCACAAAAAACCCAGACCCCCCCTGTGAAATGACATCACACCTCAGCCTACACCCACCACAAAATTATAATTTACGTTTTTTCTAACTAATCGATAATATTTATAATTTTAATGAATTCCTATAATAATTAACTAAAACAATTTTCTAAAACGCAAAATAACGACTAAAACTCAGTCCCTAACATTACTTTTTTAAAAATATCTACCCCCCTCCCCGTCATCACACATCGTCATAAAATTAATCCCCCCCCCCTCCCCTCTTGGAGTGTGACCTCAATTATACCATAAAGAGCCAAAGGCCCTCTTCAACAATTATATTGAAGGTCAACTATAATGCCCCACTTCAACCTTTAACATAAAGGACCAGTTTAAGGGACCACTTCCATCATAAGATTTACTCTAACCACCTACTTAAATCATTAAGAACCACTATAATGGCCCACAACCGTTTTTACTATAAAAGGGCTCTTAAAAAAACAGACTTTAGCCCTACCCAGAAAACACCACCAAATCTTATCTAATAATCGTTTTAAAAGTTTAGTATTGTCTTAGTCATTCTATGTTCAACCCCCCGCCCCCCGCCCACCATCACCAATCAATAGTTAATGGTATAAGTTAAAGGGAAGTGATCTAATTGCATTGGTACAATTTGAATTCTTGTTCTTAGATTTAAGCATAAATGTTACCAATGAGAATGTACTATTGACTGTTGATCCACAGTAGATGTCATTCTAAAGACATACGGCAACTTTAAAGTTTTCAAATATTGAGTGAGGGTTGGGGATTAGAATGTTCAGTAGGTTTTGGGCATCTAGCCTATTCACCCATGCACAGTACGTTATGACTTAGATATAAATTATACGCAGCATTTCTATACTTTGATAAGGTATGTAACTTCATTATATATATATATATATATATATATATATATATATATATATATATATATATATATATATATATATATATATATATATATATATATATATATGTTGAGGTTTAAACTTACATATGCCATTTTCTCTGTAGCTTTCATCCTGAGGATAAACAACGGAAATTTCGTGAGTATAAAATATATATTAAATATATAGTATATATATATATATATATATATATATATATATATATATATATATATATATATATCATTTTTGTTATTGCGTTCCCAATTACAAGAACATTACTCGTCGCATACGACATCCTGTTAGGGGTAGATCTATTTGTAAACTGAAACAACAATGTTGAACTATTCTTTTTTCTTGTTGTTGAGAAAGTTCTTTTGTTTTCCGAATTTCTTTCTTGACATTGTGGTTATTAGGGTGCATGTAATAAAAAATAATTTGATTGACCCCCTTATATGACGTGATACAACTTAACTATAGACACCATATAAATCAACCATAACAAACCACAAAACAATGATGTTTAGGAAACTGTTTAAAGAAGAAAAGTTTTTACAAGCTTTTATTTAACTCACTTCCTCGTCAGTCGTCAGTCTGTCTAGACCGAAACGCAGTGCTTTTCACACGGAAGCAGGACATTACCCCCTGGACATTCACGGACATCCCCCCGGACATTACCCAGAGTAATTACCCCTGTCAATTACCTTTCACCCAGTCTGACATTACCCCTCCGCCCCCCCCCCCCCATCCGATCATAGCTCAGGTTACACTAAGGGTTATTGTGGATTTAGGTTGGGCAAGGGTAGGGCTAAGACTAGGGCTAGGGTAGGGCTAGGGTAGGGTTAGGGCTAGGGCTAGTGATATGGCTAGGGCTAGGGCTAGGACTAGGGCTAGGGCTAGGGCTAAGGCTAAGGCTAAGGCTAAGGCTAAGGCTAGGGCTAGAGCTAGGGCTAAGGCTAAGGCTAAGGCTAAGCCTAAGGCTAGGGCTAGAGCTAGGGCTAGGGCTAGGGCTAGGGCTAGGGCTAGGGCTAGGGCTAGGGCTAGGGCTAGGGCTAGGGCTAGGGCTAGGGCTAGGGCTAGGGCTAGGGCTAGGGCTAGGGCTAGGACTAAGACTAGGACTAGGACTAGGACTAGGGCTAGGGCTAGGGCTAGGGCTAGGATTAGTGTTAGGGTTAGAGTTAGGGTTAGGGCTAGAGCTAGGGCTAGGGCTAGGGCTAGGGCTAGAGCTAGGGCTAGTGCTAGGGCTAGGGCTAGGACTAGGACTAGGACTCGGTCTATGGTTAGGGTAGGGTAGGGTAAAATAGGTCAGCGTTAGTGCAGTGCTAGGCTAGAGCTAGGGCTGGGGCTAGGGCTAGGGTTAGGGCTGTGGCTATGGCTAAGGTTAACGAGGCTTTCTTTAGTTTGTATTCTTATTTTCTTTAGTATAATATGTCCAGGGTCGGGGTTAGGTCTGGGTTTAGTTTTAGTTTTAGGCTGAGGTTTAGGCTTTTTCTTAAGGTTAGGATTAGGTTAAGATTTAGGTCTAGAGTTGAGAATAGGTTTGGGTTTTGGTTTCGAGCTTTTGAATAGAGGGGAATGGATAAAACTGTCATTAGCTTAATGGAAAATTCTTCTCCAATCAGATGAAAATGTTAATTAGGTGTAGTGGAGAAAAGAAAAAGCTCTCTTGCCATAAGACAAGAAAAACCTAGATTCTTGATTTGGAAGAGCAATGGGAACATTTCTTATCAGTCCAAGAAAAAGCGTCAGTCTTGGTATTGAGAAGCACTGAGTTAATATCTTTTTCTATCAGTCTCAACCTCACAGAAACTCAGAAGAAAATTATTTTGCCACTAGACCAAGAAAACCCTGTATGTAAGAACAAAACAAATTACATTCTTTTGCCATCAGAATAAGCCTTGGTATGGAGATTGAAATATGAATTTTTTTATCACCCAACTAAGAAGAACATTTTGTATTGGTATGGAGGTGCAAAGATGTATATGCTTTTGCAATCAAACCAAAAAAAACGTGAGGTCCTCGTATGGAGAAGCACAGAAGAATATTCCTTTTCAATGAGTTCAAGACAAAACTAGTATCTTGGTATAAAAGAGCAAAGACGAAAATTATTTGCCATTAGATAAGAACAATTCCTGTAATATTGGAATAATGGAGCACACACATATTTTTTAGCACACAGGCAAAAAAAAACACAACTTGGAGTCTTGGTGTTGAGAAGCAAGAAGGAAATTGCTTCTCCTTTCAGTCCAAGTAAAGCCTGAAGTCTTGGTGTGTAGGAGCACATAAGACAATTCTTTCGCCATCAGACCGAGAACAAAATATAGTCTTGATTTGGACGAGCATAGGAGAAAATGTTTTCGCCAGTAGACTATGAAAAACCCTGAGTGTTGGTGTTAAGAAGCACACACAATTCTTTCGCCTTTAGACCAAGAATAACTGGGAGTCTTGGCACAGAGGACAAAGCTTTTGCTATAAGAACAACCACAATTTTGAGTTTTTGTATGTAGGAGTATGGGGAAAAATATCTCTTTCTATCAACCTAGAAAAACATGGATTCTTGATATGGAGAAGCTTAATTAAAGGAAAATTATTTTCCAATTAGACGAAAAAAATCTAGTCTTGTTATGGAGGAACAAAGAAGAAAATTATTTTCCCATCAGACCACGAAAAACCTGGAGTCCTGGTATGTAGGCGTAAAGTTGAAACTTTATTATCCTCCGATCAAGACAAGCCGTGAATCTTGGTCAATCTCCGGTCATTATTTTCTCCTAATATTCGAAAGCTACAGCACTTCCGCAGGAAAAAATAAATATTAATCTATTTCTAATAAATTTTATTGCACACACTGTATTTTACAAAATACTTCATTTGAGTTACATACGTATAGATCTATTAATTATCGATACTCGTTTTTTCTACGGTGGTTGTGAGAAAAGCCGGCAGTGCCAATGTTGTTCCGCTTTGAGCGCCTGATCAACAACAATGATGCAATAATTTCGTAACGGAAATTATGAAAAACTGATAATAAAGAAAACGGAATAAAATATATGCTGATTATTTATAAATCATTTTATCATTTATTTAAAAAAATCTTAAACATCATTTTTAATCACTTTGAAAATGTATGTAAATGATTGTGATGATATTTCTGAGCACATAAACAATTCAACTATGAAGTATCCCCAGTAATCGTTCTCATAGATGGCGTTACAATCACTTAAGGAAAAAATGGCGGACCACAATTCAGTGCGAAATCCTTACCGTCATTTTTAGAATCCACCACTTCGTCACATTATGTGTGCCAAACCCACTGAACAACATAGGTGTCTTCATCTTGTCGTTTGGCTTGGATAACTACCACAAAAAACAAAACAAAAAACAAGAATAAAAACCGTAAAACATTAATAAAATATTTGTCCAAATATTTTTTTAAACAGCCCACACTCAATTTTTTGAACATAAATCATTATAACTTTTCTCGAATTTACTCCTCATATTTAGCGTTAAAGCAGTTTTAAGAATTATTGTACATTTTTAAAAAAAGTTAACTGCTGACAAAATAATTTTTTTATCAATATTTGATTTGAGGATTACGCCACTAAACAATAAGAATTCAACAACTGAGACGATAAAAGTGTTTCAGAAAATCCTACATTTATTACGTTTACAAAAAATTGAAGATATTTTAAAACTTTTAAACAGAGTTCCTTAACAATGAATAAACTAATATCACAAATGAGAAGTTATAAACATTTTATCCATATATTACACTCAGTCCCTTATATATTTTTATCAAGACACATTGATTCAAAAAGTAAGCTATGTTTAAGCTCAGACAGTTTTCGTGCAAGATGTCTACCTAGTGGACGTTCCTGGAACCTTCAAATCGATAGCCCGCCAGGTATGCCTGCAAGTTTGGCACCGCGACGTGGCAGACTGCAAGTTCATTGTAAGTGCCACTCATGCGTAAAAAAAATCGGTTTATCGGTTTTATGTGTAGCTGCTAAAATAGTCCCCACTGTTTAATGCGACTCGGCCGACAATTTGTGATCGATTGCAGGAGGTTCGTACAAAAGCGCGCATGAATCACCTAAACCCAAACATTCCACTTTAAATACTCCACACCCAGAACCCCAACAAACCATCTCTGTCATACAATACAACTACCACCCCCATTATACTGCTAAAAATTTTAAATCTGAAAAAAAAAACTGACTAGCCTATTGTTAACATCTTGCAAGAAATCTGACATTAATTACTCCAACTTATTCTCACCCTCCCCGCTTCACATGCCCGTCTTTCCAAACTCCTCAAAAGCCCGACTCCATATCTAAACCCAGCATACTCGTTTTTGAAGGAAACTATAGCTACTTGCAACCTGTTAAATATATTTTAACTGTTACTTGTTAAAAAAAATATAAACACAAAAATACTTAGTCTATTTAGTTTTACCTCTTTACGAGGACAGCAAAAACAATAGCGCCCCAACTTTCAGCTTGACCCAGTTCTTCAGGTGAGTTTCTGTTCGTTTAACACATTGCCCAATAAAGATGCTCATCAGTTTCTCAACTACTAGTACAGCGACTTGAAAATTTATTTTAATCTTCGGCAGTAGCCCTAAATGGCTCAATGTGATAGGAAGTTAGTGCTGAGTTGAAATTATATTGAAATTAAAATTAATCTCTAACAAACGTATATTTGTGTCACCCAATTCACCTCTGATATTTCTTCATGTGATACATTTGCTAAAATTTTGACTGGAGTATTTTGAACATCTTGTAATTTTAAGCAAATTATAAAAATTAGAGCGTTATGCAGTTTCGAGCATTTTAAACCCATGAGCATTTAGAAATTTAAGTATTTTAAGCATTCAAATTTTTTTAGCATTTTAAAATTTTGAGCTCTTTGAAATCTTGAGCTCTTTGATATTGTGAGCTCTTTGAAATCTTGAGGTCTTTGATATTTTGAGCTTTTCAAAATTTTGAGAATTTTAAAATTGTGCCTTCTGAGCATTTTAAAATTTTGAGAATTTAGAAGTTTTGAGGTAAGACGCGGAAACGTGACAGTAAATTCTTATCTTTATCATACACTAAAGCTAATACTAAAAACAAATAAAAATCGTGCAAATTACTAACATTATTTAAGAAACAATGACTTGAGTTATAATTACTTGATGCTGAGATCAAAGTACATTTTTCTTTTTAATATCAAAGATACTTACCCTCTTCATTTTCAAATCTTTCCTCATCCACCTTATTCACCTTGAATTTACAATCCAATCCACCTTATCCATCAGATCCATATTAGAATACACCTTGAATATCTTCCGAACGCAATTGAAAATCAAGGGTTTTACTTCAGGAAAAGAAATATGATTTGTGTTTAATTAAATCAAGACGGACATTTAAGATTGAATGCGAGAGTATTAGCCAGCTATGGTTTTAGCCTTTTACATGGAAATGTATTTTCTAATTAATGCGTTTCACAATGTCTTGATAAAACATAATAGCATAGAGCACATTATTCAATCAAACACAATATTTCAGTGTTAATATAAGAAAACAAAATTTTAAAAGTTCTCTCTACATTCTTATGTTCACCGTCACTAAATTTATGTTTAAAATGTAACCGTGGCATATTACATGCGCATTTTATCAAAACGAAAAAGTAAATAAATTCAGAATGGATTTTTTTATTAACTTTATCCACCGTTAACTTACAGTACAAAGTAAAAAAAAAATAATTAATAAAAAAAACACTTAATCTTTTAATCCTATAAGCCAAGCTAAAAATTGATTTTGTAAATGAAAAATCAATATCAGAAATATTTTAGAGAATTTGCAGATACGGTTGGTCACAAGAGCTCGAAAATGCTGTGGACTGACTTCAAATTAACGGTATATATAGCGTACACATGACAGTTAGCCTAGCTCTTATCCCACTTAATCCTCAAAAAGTCTCACTCTATTAATCTACCACACAATTTTATGCTCAGGCAAATATGACTCGTGAATATGCTCCTAACACCTGCGCACCATGATAATGCACATTAATTAGAGTTATTGGTTTAACTAAAATAGGTTCAGTAAAATGTCCTCGTCTAGCGATATAAAACAAATTGAAACTATCAGAAAAACTGATACAATATTAAAGTTACAAAAATATAATAGGTCAGTAGTCACGTCCCTTATATCACATAGTGTCGATCTTCTTCCCCAATTAGTGTCTCCCCATTCCCAACATAGTGTCGACCTTCTTCCCCAATTTGTGTCTCCCCATTCCCCATATAGTGTCAACCTTCTTCCCCAATTTGTGTTTCCCCATTCCCCTTATACTGTCGACCTTCTTCCTCAATTTGTGTCTCCCCATTCCCCATATACTGTCGACCTTCTTCCCCAATTTGTGTTTCCCCATTCCCCTTATACGGTCAAACTTCTTCCCCAATTTGTGTTTCCCCATTCCCCACACAGTGTCGACCTTCTTCCCCAATAAGTGTCTCCCCATTCCCCACATACTGTCGACCTTCTTCCCCATTCAATGCCCCACGCATTCCCCACACAGTCTTACCCCACTTCCTCCTCATAGTATAAACCTTTCACCCCACACGTTGTCACCCACTCTCCATAACGATGTAACCTCCCCCCCCCCCACTACAAATAGTGGTAGGAAACCTGTTTGTACACAGACCAATTAAAACGAAGCATTTCGTTCTGTGATTCTGTAATTCCTCTACTTGTACAACATGTACTCTTATATATGTCTATTTGTAATTAGATCTGACATTATCCCTAACCCTGATCCCTAATGCCTAACAGTAATGCTTAAAGCCTAACCCTGGCACCAAAAACTAACCCTAACCCTAATGCCTAAACCTAAAAAGAAATTTAACCCAAGCCACGAATAAAAGACATATATTGGGTAACCACTTCAGCCACCGGGATAGTTAACCATTTGGAAAAGTTGAATGCTAAATAATGCTAAATAAATAAATAAGCAAGCAAGCGCTCGACTATAATTATAAAACAAAAATGATATTATTGGTCGGCTAAAATAGAAATGCCTGGATATGTTCAAACATTATCCATATCAACCTTAAAATTACATGCTGTACTATCGATTATTCATACTTGTTTGAAAAAAAAACTAAAACAGAGCGTAATCCTTTCAAGAGTGTGCAGTGTAGTGTAGAAACAGCCATTGATCTGAAGTGCCAATCCTGACACAGGGCAGTAATAAAGCTATTGACCTTAATAGAAAGACGAATACACTTGTTTCAAAACCTTGAATGACTTGGTAGGTTACGTATTTGGCTTCTAGTCTTCATATCTGTACACTGTACAGGTACAGACGTTAAAGAATATTTGAAACATTTCTGTAAGTTTAAGGGGGACGGGTGTCAGTAATTACTGTGACACTGAGGTATCTCAGATGTTGACACTGAGATATCTCAAATGGTGACACTGATGTATCTCAAATGGTGACACTGAGGTATTTCATATGGTGACACTGAGGTATCTCACATTATGACAGTTTAGTAACCTCACTTGCTGACACTGAATAACCTTACTCGTTTAGATTGTGAATTATCATGACATGACACCATGAATTATCTCAACCAACGACACCTTGAATTACCTCACCTTGTGACCTGAAGTAGTGAATTCATGCTTTACCTAGTCTTGTGACACCCAAAGAAATCTCAAATGGTGACAGTTAAAAAATATCAGTTACCTGAACTGCTGACACCGAGTTGCTTAAGAAGGCAAAACCATAAGATACATTAGATGGTGATACCATGAAGTACCTGACATGGTGACACCATGGGTTACCGCACCGTGTGCTATCCAGGCTTTATGACATCATTGATTGACGTCATAAACACTAATACAGCCACTCGTTATAAAGTTGTAATAGTCTGCTACCCAGGCTACCCGTTCCAATATCGATCATTAGTTACAAAAGACTTAAGCCTCATGGAAAAAGACAAGGGGAAATGTAGAGGCGCGCAACAGTAAAGTAACTGCCTAGGAACCGATAGAGTTAAGAAGAGAAAAGGAGTTTCTGTGACGGCTCCGTGTAACCTGGGCATCGAAATAATAAGATGATGAGGTAGGGATAACATACAATGTTCTATTTATGTTTTTATTTAAAGTTACAGTGGGTGAGTTATAGAAATTAGAAGTGTAATAAGATATATGTCGTGAGTTTAATATTTTTTATAAAAAATCTTTTTTGTTTTGTTTTGCGTGAACTAAAAAACTATGTGTGTTCATCTATTGTATGAGACAATTGAGTTTGTTTAAAACTATCAAGCTATCTAGGGGAAATAATCCAGTAAATAAAACAAAATTCGATTTGTTATCTCCCTTTCAATATCGATACAGTTTATCCAACTATTCACTCTCTGAATACCATCAACTTCAAGCATAGAATAAAATTCCCATATTTTTCACGAACTCCTGCTGTCATTTAATTTTTTTTTAATTGCTTGAATACTTACAAGTACATATTTAACATACAAAAGTTGGTTTTCCTATACTGCTTATGTAAAATTTAAGTCAAATAACGATTTAAAAAAAAGGCAGATCATTGGTTCATACTTTTTTAGGTTCTTCGTTTTGTTTCAAGAAATCCGCAATTTAAAAAGAAATGACACTGTAACCTACATTATGAAATGATAGTATAACAGTTAAATGTATATGAATGTATGCTGCGAGTGTGTGTAGTAAATAGGCGAGATAAAATATAAAATATATTGTGGGTGTACGCATGCGCAAAAGGAAAGGTAGCGGGAGGTAGAATTCGGCAGAACAAGAAAGATGACAAAACTGAGTCGTGTTTGTTGAGTAGTCTAGCTGCTGAATATCAGTCTGAATATGTAGATCTAATATTAATTAATAAAATTGTGAAATCTCCAGTAATGTGGTTGGTATTTCCTTTTAGTTTATATCGTGAACCCAGTCACACAAAAAGGCTGTGACAGATAGTAGTAAGGCCGCCATATCGAATGAAGTTATTAATTCTGGTTGAAAATGTCACCCAAAAAAAAAGAATGAAAGTCTTTGCTAAAATATATTTATATATCTAAGTTTACTGTAGGTAAAATGATAGGCTTTAATCCTGGATGAACGTTCAGAACACTAAAAAAAATTCAGCTACATTGAAAGCAAACACAAATATAAACATGTTTTAAATTATTATTTTTTTTTACTTTTAAATATCTAACATTTACCATACGAACTTCATATTTATTTATTAAACCTAAAATACTAAGGTTGAAGATTTTGCATTAATTGTTCTCTAAATTCCTCATACACAGTGTTGTGCACGAGTGCTATACTTCGTATACGAGAAAGCTAATGTAGTTTTTTAAAATGTTTATAAAATCAGTGAGAAGATTCATACTAATGCTGAAAAATTTTGGTTAAAGCAATACAAGAAGTAAACGGATACAAAACAGAATTTTAATGTTTTGCCAAAATAATTTTTTAATAATTATTTCAAAAAGATTAATCAGACACAAAAAAGCTTAGGATCAAATCTAACTCAGCCAAGTGTAGAACTTTGATCTGACGTTGGTGGTTTGTGCTGTAAAATACGTATCAATACAATCGGATTTTCATTTCCACGGATTCAAGATTCCTTTTGCTTGTAGTCAAGCCATCCCAATGAAGTCCCTTGCACGCCTCGTCCGACTTCCAAACCCCAGTCAGATAAACGAGATGACAGCCATTGAACCACCACCCTCCTTTGTAGCTTTGTGAGCAGCTGCTTTTTATAGGGCTATCCCAGGTGTAGAACTTCATGTTGTCGTGATTTGACAAATCATCCCTAACGTTCCCAACACCGTATGTCCCAACATGAAGAGTGTATTGCTTGTCCTCTCCGTCTACCTTAAAGCCTACGTAGGTAATGAAATAATATACTCTGTTGAACCTCATATCTATCCTGAGCAACCAAGTTCCACGCTGTAGGGTTTGTTAAGATGTAGTTACTATAAATAATCGTCATAACAAGATTGAGAATATGGGGGCAGGTAATCGATATTGTATGTATGTATATATATACATACATACAATATCGATTACCTGCCCCATATTCTCAATCTTGTTATGACAATTATATATATATATATATATATATATATATATATATATATATATATATATATATATATATATATAAATATATATATATATATATATATGTATATATATATATATATATATATATATATATATATATATATATATATATATATATATATATATATGTGTGTGTGTGTGTGTGCGCGTGCGTGCACTGGCCTCTGTAAAAAGCTGATCTGTAAAGGACCATGACTTGTGTGTTTATTAAGCAGCATAATATATTACTTTTAGAATTAACCCTAACCACAGCCAACCAAAACCAAAACATAAACGCAAACACAAACACAAATAAGAATGCAAACATAAACATATACGCAAACACAAAAACAAACATAAACATAAACGCAAACACAAAAACAAACACAAACGTAAACACAAACGCAAACACAAACAACAATCCCAAACCCAACAACAAACGCAAACACAAACCCAAACACACCAACAAACGAAAACGCATTATCCAACGCAAACAAAAGCGCAATCGCAAGCAAAAACACAAACATAAACGCAAACATAACCGCAAACGTAAAAGCAAACACAAACGTAAATACAAAAAAAAAATGCAAAGACTAACGCAATTACAAAACAAAAACGCAAACACAAACGCAAACCTTAGCGCAAACAATAACGCAAAACATAAACACAAACTTAAATACAATCATGAAAGCATAGTGCTAACAGTATAGCCCGGGGCGCCAAAACGCCCCCTCCGTGGTGCCGGCAGAACTACTTGATTCAGTTTAGTAAATGACTATAATACCCAATTTTATTCATAGTCTATTGCACTGTTTAAAACTTTTTATAAAACAGATATTACGTACGGATGTTAAGCTTGATATTTCATCCAGCCCGAGCCAAAAGTCAAAATCAAATGAACCAAAGCCGTTCTTGTAATCTGCCCAAGGTCTTGTGAAATTCTCGCCTTGATAACGGCGCTTTAAAAAAAAAACATGGGTTAGCGTGAGAAATCGCTTTTTGGTAAGGCTAGTATGTGTTATTGTGAGAAATGGCTTTATGTTTAGGTTAGAGTGTGTTAGTGTCAACAGTAAACACTATGCTTGGTGTAGAAGAGATTATGCTAATCGTTACCATCAGGACAATCCATCCGCCGCCATCGGTGACAGTGTCACACAGAACATCTTTACCAGCGGAAGATTTCAAGACAGACCTCTCCAGCAAACCTTTCGTCATGGTATTTTTGGTACACACTCCCTAGAAATGTATTTTTCAACAATAGTGTTGCGGTACATCAACACACACACACACAAACATACACATAGACAGACAGACAGAAAAACAGATAGACAAATAGACAGAGAGACGGACAGACAGACAGACAGACAAACAGATAGACAAATAGACAGACAGACAGACTGACTGACTGACTGGCTGACTGACAGACAAGCAGGCAGACAGACAGAGAGATAAACAGACAGACAGACTGACTGACTGATTGACTGACTGACAGACACACAGATATATATATATATATATATATATATATATATATATATATATATATATATATATATATATGTACTAGCGTACCCGTCCCCCGCGCGTTGCCGCGGGGATAGAAGAAAGTTTGACGAAATGTATTAGCAGGATTTCACCAACGCGTTACCAATCATATGTTTTAGACGCGTGACCGTCTTTTCTAAAAGTGAGTTATTAAAATGTAATCAATGCCTGCGCTTGGATCATAAATATCGGGACACGGGTTTACCTACACTACTGCATGAAAACTTTGAGTGTACATTAATCACTCACCGAAATAATATGTTAGAACACACTTCGGTGACTGCCCATGTGTCAGAGACGTACAGGGGCGCTCTCAGGGCCCCCACCCCCCGATTACACTACCGCATAGGCGCGGCGTACGACCCCTGGCTCCTAAAAAGTAATAGGCGCCATCGTGCCAAATAGCATCCTGTTAAATAATGATGCAGATTTCATCATTCGCTAAAGTGCCACAAATGAACATGCTTTTTTCTTTAACACGTAAAAATGTATTTGACATGTTTTAAACATCAGTGTGAATGATGCAATATGCTAGCGTTACTAATGGTCTATTATTAGATGCTCGATCTCAATTTCTGACTGGATTGTCTAATAGTAGATGCTTATTGCATCATTCGCAAAATGACGAAACTCTACAGTAGGCTCCTCATATTCAAAGAGTTATTTTTTCATCTTTGGCAAGGTGACGAAACTGTACAGAACGATTTCCTCGCGTTACAAAGTTATTTTTAGAAGACTGTTGTAGTTTTACCGCTGAATATAGTAGTACCCCTTACTCGCTATGCAGGATGCTCGATTAACTGATGCCAAGTGCCAACATAGTCGCTCTAAAACTCTGGGCGCCAAACCGTGTATTGACGAAAGTTGTACCCTATATGGCGCCGCCCATAAGAAACTTTAGTTTTCTTTTTCGCAGAAATATTCTACTTCCTAAAGTTTCATGGCACTCGGATGAACCGCATGTGAGTATTATTTTTTATATATTGTGTATAGAGAAAAAAATCGTGGGCGCCGCCCGTGCAATATTAAACAATATTTTTTTGCAGAGCCCTACCATTAAGTGATCTAATCATCTCCCCAAAGTTTCATGGTACACGGATGAACGATGTGAAACCGAAATAGACTTTTATTTTTATAAACAGTATATAGAGAAAAATTGCAGCCTTCCGTGGCGCCGCCCTTGCGAAATTAAAAAAGGATTTTTTTTTTACAGAACCCTTCCCTGAATTGTTCTAATCAACTCCCCCAAAGTCTCATGGCTATCGGATAACGGTGTCACACCAAAATCGACTTTTTAAAAAAATATACCGTATATAGAGAAAAATCGCACCCCTCGTGGCGCCGCCCTTGCGAAATTAAAAATGATTTTTACGGAACCCTTTCCTAGAGTTTTATAATGTACTCCCCAAAGTTTCATGCCTATCGGATGAACGGTGTCACTGCAATTCACTTTTTTTTTTTTTTAATTTACCGTATATAGAGAAAAATCGGACCCTCCCGTGGCGCCGCCCTTGCGAAATTAAAAATTATTTTTTTACAGAACCCTTCCCTAGAGTGGTATAATGAACTCCCCAAAGTCTCATGCCTATCGGATGAACGATGCCAAACCAAAATCGACTTTTATTTTTATATACGGTATATAGAGAAAAACAAATCGCGCCCTGCCGGGGCGCCACCCCTGCGAATTTGAAATTTTTTTTTTCGCAGAAACCTCCCCAGGAATATTCGCAACAACTTCCCAAAGTTTCACGGCGATGTGATGAGAGGTGTAGTAATGCATAAAGGACACACACACACACACATAGACACACATACATTGCTTTTTATATATATAGAAGATAGATATACACGTATATATACGTTTATATATATATATATATATATATATATATATATATATATATATATATATATATATATATATATATATATATATATATATATATATACTCAGATTTAGGTTGATAACACAAACAATAAAACAAAAATCAAACATGCAGATACACACATACACAAGTACAATCAAATACTTACGTTCACATTGACAGACAGATACACAAATGACACATAAATGCACACAGACAAACAAACCGACAGACATCAAACAATACATCATTGACGTTTTTCCTCTATGTTTTTCTTTCTTTACTGGTCATAAACAAGCAATAAACCAACAGACAATGAGTCCTCTTTTGACAAACCTTTTGAACGCTGAGCCTACTTTCTTCGAGGTATCCTGTAATACAGAAACAAACATAACTTATAAACAGACGGCTTGAACCACTTATGCTACAGCTGGTCGGACGTTAGGGCTAATGTATTACCTGTTTCGGTGACCTCTGCTTAGGAAAAGATAGTATGTTCAGAACTATGCCCAGTTGCCTTTACTCTCTCTAACATGAGTAATTCACTTTTTTATTTAACTTTTTTATGAGATGAACTTATTTTATGATATAAAGTTAACGCTCGTCTTGGCTGTAATATTTTCGAGTGCATTGGCTTCAAGTAAACAATGTTAGGCAAGTAGGTGATGACAGCTAATGTTTACACAAGATGGTGTACATTTGTTTGATATTTAAATTAAGCTTGCATTTCAAGATAAAATATCGCCCTTTTACTGTAAAAGACAACAATTTAAATTTAAAGTAATATTATTGGTTAGACGAAATGGGGGGGGGGAGCTTTTCAAAATTTGGGGCTTCGGCTTGCAGCATAGGCGCTCCTGTAACAAAACAACTAATATAAAGGATTATTGTACGTAAGAGAAGTAAGTTACATATACAGAGGATTGAATCAGTTTATTCCCACATATTTTCGTAGATAATTTTGATAGACTTATTTGAATTTCAACACTTTTAACCAATTCATAAGGTAAAAAAAATAGGACAATGGTAAATCTAATTTTAAACTTACCAAAGGAGAGACAAATATTGACAGCCGTCACGGCAGCCAATACCCCAGCATACATGTTTAATATTAGGATGAATAATATCTCCGTAGACCACACAACCAATCTGTTGCCTGAGTCAGTTAGTCATGTTATTAAATACAAAATTAATTATATCCGAGTCAGTCGTTTCTTTAGGACCGCGGGCCGAATCCGGCCTGTATCTATATTTCTCATACATGTTCATGATACTGTTATATTTATACGTTGCATACAATACTAATTTGGTTCATTCTTTGTGCTTTTTAAAAAAAAAATGCTGTTACGCCAATATTTTTTAAAGAAGGTATCCTCTTCATTAAACTTTACTAATACATTTAACAATTGGTATACGTGCTATGCCATAATCATCTGCCATTTTATTGTTTAATAAGGCCAATAAACATGCATTCGATAATGTCTAGTGTTTGAATACAATAGGCATTATTTGAAGCCACTCTTTTGGAGAGAAAGGGCTGGTGGTGGGAACAGAAATTAACAGCAGGACTATTTTAACTCAGTTTATATGAAATAGTCTTTTTAAAAAAACAATATAAGCTTTTATTTACTTCACAGTGGTTGTTTGCTCGTTTGTTTGCGGCAAACCTTTTAATTTATTTCTATCCACCTTTAATGCAACGATTTCATCCTTTACAGATAATTTCGTCTTCGAAGACAATATATATATATATGTATATATATATATATATATATATATATATTTATATAATTTCCAAAACTATTCTAGCTCTATCGATCACAATTGTTCAAATTAAGATTTAATGTTAACATATTATTCTCCTTAACATTTCTCAAGCACAAGGTAAAATTGTTGTGTAACGATAGTAAGTGATCGGGTCAGTTATTTTTGTACGAGCTGCGTTTCACTGGTAAATACTTGTTTCAAAGATGTTCGATAAGATAAAATCATTAAGTTTATACTGCCTGTGTATTTATTTTTGAATTCTATGAGATTTTAAAGTGTATACAAAATCATCAGAAAGATCGAAACTACACGAAGTAGTTTAATAAAATCAAACAGACACACAGCAATAAAAAAAAATGTCAGAAATTTTTTTTTTAATTTACACCATTGTATCTTTAATGACAGTTTTAATGAGATACATTATTCAATTCATCAGGATCACATTTTAATTTGCTGTCAGTTCCATGTTGGAGTTCGATTTGACACTAGTGTAAAACGATGAAAAGATAAATTTATTGAATCTCTCGCATTTTCATCTCCACCGAATCGAGACTTTTTTTGTTCGTAGTCAAGGACTCCCAGTGGACCCCCTTGGATTGTTCTCTTGATTTCCACTCTCCTGTCAGATAGACGCGATGACAGTTATTGAACCACCATCCACCACTGTAGGTTTTTGTGCAACTGTTGCTGGTAGGGCTATCTGAGGTGTAGAACATTTGGTGGTTGTGATAAGAAAAATCATCCGTGACGTTTCCTGAGAACGTTCCCATATGAATTGTGTGCTGCTGTATCCGCCACGACAGTTCGAACTGTCGGTACTGGGCGAAGTAATCTCTGCCTTCGAACTTCATATCTACCCTTAGCTGCCATTCACCTTCCTGTAAATTTGATTTGGTAGTTGTAACTATAAATAATAGTAATATCAGAGTAGAAAATATAGTTTAGATAATTATATATGTATATATATATATATATATATATATATATATATATATATATATATATATATATATATATATATATATATATATATATATATATATATATATATATATGTATATATATAGATATATATATATATATAAATGTATATATATATATGAAATATACTATATAATAATTGGCTAAGTCAAGCAGTCACAACACTAATTGGTGTAAAAAAGGAGAATAATCAAAGATATACCAAATACAGATCCACACAATTAGATCATGGAGACAGATTATTAATGGAATATTTCAAATTTAATATTTATTTGTGCGTGTATTTTCTCAATTCCTCACCGCCATATTTTGCTGTTCTAATACGCTACAGGTTTACGTACGTAGATTAAGAGCGAAGAGTCATTTAGCCCCAGCCAAAAATCGCCATCAAATGAACCAAATCCCTCCGAGTAGTCCGCCCAAGATCTTGAGAAGTTCACATCACCCCGAACTCGACGCTGGAGGATAAACACATTAAAACAGTTATCAACGTTTTGGTTACGATGAAGTGTGTTAGTATGAACAATTACTTTTTGACTAGTTTGATATTGTTTTTTTTTAATATTCGTTCATAGTGTATATTGCAAGGAACGCTGTCTTTATATATTCATATATAAAATTATAGTCCACCTTGGCCTATAGCCTATATTTATCAAACTTAACTTAAACACTATTGTTGTTACTTTGTTGGATTTCTTTATATTCAAGTCCCCAAGTAAAGGAATATTAGAAGAGAGTAAAGCCTAATTTCACATAGGGAACTGAATACATCAAATTCGGGTTTCTGTAGAACTTTGTGTAACCAAGTTTTTTACTTAGTATAAAAAATATTGACATGATCAAATTACATTAAAATATGTTATGTAATGCCATTTATAGCAGATGGTTTTTAAAACAGTTCAGCCCAAACTTGTAATGCGAGTTTACTTGGTGCCATTTACAGTGAGGCCTGCAAAACATGATATTATTTGTATCGTTACCATCAGGACAATCCATCCACCGCCATCAGAGACAGTGTCACACAGAACATCTTTACCAGCTGAAGATTTCAACACAGATCTGGCGGGCAATTCTTTGGTCATATGGCTCTTGCTACAGATTCTCTAATGAAGTAGATTTTAACAAATATAGTGCAATACAGAAAACACACCTCTCCCCCCCCCATATATATATATATATATATATATATATATATATATATATATATATATATATATATATATATATATATATATATATATATATATATATATATGCATTATACATATACTTATACTTATATATACATACTCTCATATATTTCTAAAATAGTATACATTATTAAATTATACATATTATATATATATATATATATATATATATATATATATATATATATATATATATATATATATATATATATATATATATATATGTATGTGTGTGTGTGTGTGTGTGTGTGTATATTTTGTAATTAAATGAATTGATTTTATGTCTGTATGTGTTACAAAAAAAAACCCCGTATTCCGTTTAAATTGTTATTACTAAAATAGAATGAACATTTTTTAGCTTTCAGTACGAATTTTCAATTTATACTTATCACAGTGGGATTTTTCATTGTATATTATACTATTGATTTTCTTATTTTAATTAATATTTACGTAATGTTTTATTTATCACTAGCGTGCCTATCCCCGCGCGTTGCCGCGGGGTTTTTAGAAAGTCTGACGAAGTATATTAGGAGGGTTTCATCTATGCCTTACCAATTCCTATATTCTTAGACGTGTGGCTTTGTTTTCTAGAACTTAGATAATTAAAAGTAAACAATGCCTGCCCTTGGATTATATTTATCTTGACACGGGTTTACCCAAACTACCGCTCAGCACACCCAAAGTCGTTTTGTATGAAAGTCTTCGGCAACTGCTCAGGTATCAATGACGTAGAAGGGCGCTCTCGGAAGCCCCCGGATACACAACTACAGGGGCGCCGCGTAGGGCCCCTAGCTCGGTTTAATCATCAAATGTCGTTTGCCACCTTGTCAATATTGTAGGGTGCTCCTTAAAACTAATTTCAGCGCCATAGTGCTCACATGATAGCCCGGGGCGCCAAACTATACCCTGCCGGGGTACCGCCGGACGCGCCTGATTTAGTTAACGACTATAATATTCCAATCTTATCCATATTCTATTGCATGGTTTAAAACGAGCGTAGGCGCCAAAGCACTCATTTGATAGACAGGGATACCAAATAGCACCCTGTCTGAGCGCCGGCGGACGCTCATGATTTAATATAGTGATTGTCTATAATGCCCCAGTTTATCCATAGTCTATATCATTGTTTGAAACAACTGTAGGCGCCATAACTTTATCTTTTGTTTCAAAAATGTTGTGTTTCGGTTCAGTTTTGGATCCATTTGATTCTGTTCTGACTTTAATCTCACACATCACACAGAGACAAAAAGATCAGACACACATACAGTCACCGACACACATACAGTCACCGACACACATGCATACCAGACAAACGAGACACACACAGAACATACACATACAATCGCAGACACACATAAAGCCACCGACACACTCACAATCAAACACTTTGATACACAAACATAGACAGTGTAACATCAGATACAAAGCACATATATAATCCCTCCGACATACACACACACGAACCCACAGACACAGAATTCATTCTTTTTAGACAAGTGCTAAAAACTTGTCCATGATTCACTCTATAAACAAACCGTATCTGCCAAAGCACTGTTCTTAGGTAGTTCAACTTTTCCTGTAATACACAATCAAAAAATACATTTCAATAGTCCGCTTGAAACATTAATTATTTATTGTAATCAGAAACTTTAAGTAATCATATTCTATTACATAATGCAATACAGCCGTGCATATCTAGGTGTAACACTAGTAGCCCATATTCTCAAGTGTCTGTTGTTAATTTATGAAATTACAGCACAACGACTTATTTAAAAGGTAATTTCAAAAAAGAAATGAAACTCAGGTTATTTTAGGAATTTGAATCCATTAATCATATTTTATCGAAATTCTTAAGTTGAATTTAAACTTAATAATTTGATATGCTGAGGCAATAAGCCAAGAATAAAACATTAGTTACAGAAAATGTATTATAAGTTTAAACTCACCAAAGCAGAGACAACTGTTGACAGCCAAAATTGCTGCCAATAGCCCAGCAGACATGATGCGTGTTTCAGTTTAAGTTAATTTGTCTGAGTGGATCCCTAAACAACCGTGTTTCCTGCGTCAGTAAGTGATGTAGCTCAACATCAAATTTATTCATATCCTAGTTGTTTCTTAAGGACCGCGGGCCGGATCCAGCGCTCACTTATTGCTCATACATTTTATAGCAATTTCTTATTTAAACGTAACATACAACACAATTTTGATAATTAATTACGCACTTTAAAATTTGCCTGTATACCGACTATATTAATTTCATATGAGGTTTATGCTAATAAAATTATAAAACTGCATAAATTATGACTTTATATGGAGAGATGGTGTTTGGATATACCTTCCGTAGTGTTATAGGAAACTAAATAATATATGTGGAGACGAGAGAGACATCAACACTACCATCACTGCCCAAACTATACAGAATTACAACGTTTTGTACGAGTCGAACGTACATGTTAGTTGTACAAAATAGTAGTTAAAAGTGGAGACGTTTGTTCAAGATGTTTGTTATACTTTTATGTATATGTTGTATGAGGCATACTGCCTAGCTTCGCTTAGGTTTTCAAAAAACTTTTGTGAATTTTAATGATTGCTGATTGGCTGTTGTGTGGAGTGTTTATGGCCTAAGATAAAAAAAAGTCTGAGTAGTTTCGTGAGGTTGTTAGAACTGCAAAGGTTTCCTTAATAGTATATTATAATATATCCACTTTCGCAATTAATTTTACAATTTCACTACAATACATAACTTAAGTTATAACGAAATATTTATTTAAGCGAATGCTATACTTTAGGATTTTTGTTTTTTTTCTTTAAAATAGTATAAAAACTTTTTAAAAATTATTATTTTAAAAAGCTACCTCTCCTGTACATAGACAAAATGGCCTAGTCTTTGTTTACTTTTTCACAAACAATTGTTTATATAAGAAAATACGGTACCTTGACAAATCTAACGACACTAAGAGGTTTTTCCGACGGGAATGTTTTTTTTGTTACCCTCCAGGGTCGGTCTAGGACCTCAATTTATATATATCTCATTTAAAGAGAATTTCACTCGCGGTCATTTTTAGCCCCCATCGAGGGCTTTTAGTCTAGCCAACAGTTTTTCCATAAGGCCTCATCAACTATTGAGGCGCATGCAAAAAATTAGCCAGATATACAGAGGTTAAGTACCCTAAAATTCGTGTTGAAATTACAGAGTCCAACCGACAATTTTCCCATACGGCACCTATGTGCAGGGGCGTAGCGAGGGGGCGGGGGGGGGGGTGCGGACCGCACCGGGTGACACCATTTAGGGGGGTGACACCAAGGCAAAAAATAGCAAAATATATAGAGAAAAACTCGAGGGGGGGGTGCAAATCGAAAGTTTGAGGGGGGGGGGGGTGCAAATCGAAAATTTGAAAGTTTGTTCCTGGGAAGGGTCTCTATGCCTCGGGGGGGGGGGGGGGGGATGACACCATTAAGTGCCGCACCGGGTGACACCCGACCTCGCTACGCCACTGCCTAGGTGCGTGCCTAAAATTAGCCTGATGTACAGAGAGTAAGTACCCTGAAATCTTTGTTGAAATTATCCCCTGTTCTTCCCATAAAATACAGATTATATAGGAAAGTACGACTGGTCAGTTTTGACCCATTTCTAGATTTTTCGCGGATATGGCGAGTTTTTTTCTGACACCCCTAAGCGTTCTTCTATGACCTCACAATATATCAAGGGGTGTCGTTCGGCAAAAGTTTTTTTTTTCGATAAATAGCACATATAAGGCGCCGGTCAGTCGAGGTCAGTTTTGACCCCTCTTCGTGGACTTTGCGGCCAACTGGCACGGGCTCCCTGTGGTCTATCTCACCAAATTCGAAGCCTCTGCGGCGGATGGAAGTGCCCAATCAGCCATCCGATCACTTTGCCTTATATATATATATATATATATATATATATATATATATATATATATATATATATACTATGAGAAAGTTCTAGAAGAAAATATGACATTCTTTTATTAGAAAATACAGCAGTGTACCCAGTGAATGCCCCCCATCTGAACTACAACACTGATTACCTATATACAATAATATAACGTTTTATTATAAGCTAATTACCCCACCGCTATACAAACTGCGAGTCGGATACATAATAACTATAATTAATTTGTTAACCAGCATAATATTATCCCTCTAATTCTAATGTAAAGAAATATAATCCTCCTAGATTAAATAGACCCCCCCCCTCAAATCCCCGATAAAATAAAAGATTTCATTCAATATCGGCTGGTATGTAAGACAAGTTTTGTTATTGGCTAAGTTTGTGTTGAGGAACGGAAGGGGGAATGAAACAGCTTTTCCAATCATGTGGGAGTGGGTGCAGTATGATGCAAGTGTTTTAAACTGATCTAAAACATGAAGGTCCGTGGGACAAGTGAAGTAGAGTTCACCTGTCTTTGTGACCTGGGCATAGAAGGGATAGTCTGGTCTCTATGGCATGAGATTTTCAGCTAATGTTCGCCTAATAATGGACATCTTTACAAACAATGGAAAATATGAGTGTGTTTCTTAATGTTCATTCAGCTGTTTTCTTCTTATAGTCTTAAACAATTTAATGAACTAGATATCTATATAGGTCATGTTGAACTTTAGTCTGCTTGACATCTAGACGATGTTTAGCCTTGAAAGGAAAAAATTAGCAGGCGTTACGTGGTGTTGTTAAAAGGGTGGTAACGTTTTGACGACGACCCTGATTTCTTAAGTATCACCACGTCCATCTTTTCTCATGTATCACCACGTCCATCTTTTCTCATGTATCACCACGTAAATCTTTTCTCATGTATCGCCACGTAAATATTTTCTCATGTATCGCCACCTTCCTGTATCACCACGTTTATCTTTTCTAATGTATCACCAATTCCATCTTTTCTCATGTATCACCACGTCCATCTTTTCTTACGTATCACCACGTTCATCTTCTATCATGTATCACCATCTCCTGTGTCACCACGTCCCTGTATCACCTCTAGCAACCCAACTTAACCCCAACTCGCTATCAACAACACCCAGCAATCTTCTCTTATCAACCTCGCTAAGTCACTTAAGTTCAGTCACCAGACCTAGCCACTATGGAACGTCTACAACTTTTACTTCTCTTGCTATTCTAAAGGAATAAAATGGTAAATATATTTACTTTACATCTAGCATCTCTTACATTAGGGAATAAGAATGCTCCTGGGTGTGAACTCATCGTCGACTTAAAGTGCGACCCAATTTAAGTACAGTGATTCGCCTCGTAAAGAAAAACGCCTTGAACTTTTTAAAGAAATATTTGTACATTTGTTTACATAAAGCAGATTTATTAACGCTGTGTAACATATCGCATACTTAATTAACAAATCAATTGTGAGGTATTGTTTTCCTTTGTTGTGGATTGTTGATAATAAAAAATAATGACGGTCTTAGAATCTGACACATACAAATGAGAATTTTTTTTTCTGTTATGTAGGTTAAAGTCTGAAAAATGAGAAATCTGCATTCGTGGGTCTCAGTCACATTGCATTTGTTAAATTTTGATTCAGTCTATTTGGAGCAATTTTTGGGCGGAATGTCTTAACTGGTGATATTCTAAATTTTATGTTGCGTTTTATACGATACATTCTCTCCCCTTTATTTTTCTATGTTGTTAGAATGGAAAGGGTGGTGTTCATGTACCCCCCCCCTCCGATTGACACGCTTGGACTGTCTGAAGTCTAACCCTTCCCCCCCCCCCCTCACCTTTACCCCTGGAAATTTTTAGTGAGAATCCTAGAAATTTCAAGCCCCCCTTCCACCCCCAAGCACATTATATGAGAAAATTATCCCGTCTCAGATGATTTACAGTTTGTTAATCGCCAGGACAAGACGGCCACAACCGCTGAAGACGCCTGGCGATGGTGGTCCGGGAAATACACGCTCCACCCTGAGACTCTGGCCAGCACCCAGCGCATCATGGACCTCGGTCTACAGCCCTTCCACATGACCTCACTGGAGAAAGCGAGGGAGAATGTTCCCGTCCTGTGCCGCGATGGCGATTACGTCATCCCATTTGACGGAACCGTGAGGACATTGAAGGTACCAAGTTCAGAGGTCAAGGCCGGAATTCCGATAATAGTCTACAAGCCGAGCGACTGTCCGAAAGATCCGGTTATATTTATTTACTTTCACGGCGGTGGTTTGGTGATTGTAAGCCCGCCTAGCTTTGATTGCTGTATGAAGTCTCTTGCGAATAAAACAAAGGCTGTAATGGTATTAGTGGACTACCGTTTGTTGCCTTGTCCAGAAAATCCCTTGGCGCCGTTTGACGACTGTTTGACTGTAACGAAATGGGTCTTGGAAAACAAGGAACTCGTAGGCGGGTCTAAAAATAGCAAGGTCGGTGTGGGCGGGGACAGTGCAGGCGGGCAGATCACGTGCAGTGTGTTGAATGACGTGCAGGGCGTGGCCTTCCAGGTGCTGGTGTACCCGGTCACTGACCTCACCTGCAACCTGCCCTCGTTTGACGAGTTCCGCGACATCCCGGCATTCAACACTCTCTCGATGGACGCCATGTTTGATGTGTTCGTGCCCCACATCCCCGGGGCAGCCACCAACCCGAGGGTCAACCCGTCAGCCAGGAAAAACCTCCAGTCGTCTCCCCCTACGTTGGTCCTCACCGCCGACCTTGATCCCTCGAAAGACTGGGCCGTGGCCTTTGCCAAGAAAATGCGAGATGCCGGGGTCAAGGTCAAAGAAGTGAACTACGAGGGCGTCCCTCACGCGTTTTTCAGCATTGTAGCAGACTACCCGACGACGTCTACCAAAGCACACGATGACGTGGCCAAGTTTATCATGTCTTTGAAGTAACGCAACACGCTGTATCTTAGCTATTACTTCAAAGTTGCGATCATTCCCAATTCACTTTATTCTTTATAAATTTAAGAAAGTTTAAAGAAAGGTATAAATTATACCTTTCTTTAAACTTTCTAAGACCAAACATCACAACGTATACTCCTGATGCCATTCTCCTACTGTAACTGCTTGTATGATCGCGTTAACAATAAACATGTTTTAAAGTGTAAACAAGACAACTATCGTTAGCCTTCATTTCTTTGCCTTTTGCAGTTATTTATGCGAGAATGAGTCAAATGTGCAAAACTAAACGGCGCCAGAGTTATTTCCTACTACACATAGAATGCGAAATTAGAAAAATGCTTCCAAAATAAAAGTTTGTTTTCTTTAAAAATATTTTAATGGTAATTTTTAAATTCTTTATTTTAAAAATTCTTTTCCTTAAGTTAAAGTCACACGTTCGGGTATATGCGGTCAATAGATCAAACGATGCATTTAAAATCTTTTTCTGTGTTCTTGGCGTATGAAGAAGTTGTGTACACACCTGCCGGTACTTCAGTAACGAGATTCAGGTATCCTTCAGAGCTGTCTGGATTCTAGTACGTCCCACAACCTCGAGCAGAGCTGTCTGGATTCTAGTACGTCCCACAACCTCGAGCAGAGCTGCCTGGATTCGAGTACGTCCCACAACCTCGAGCAGAGCTGCCTGGATTCGAGTACGTCCCACAACCTCGAGCAGAGCTGCCTGGATTCGAGTACGTCCCACAACCTCGAGCAGATAAGAAGTCGAGTGCTTTACTACCCGACCATGCCGTCCCAATTACCCCTAACTATTACATAATAATTATCATTGTGTATCTGTCTGTAACTCACAAAGAAAACAATCAAAGAACATAAAAAAAATAAACCGGGAGTGATCTCCCCTAAACTTTCTCGAATATTCTTATATAAAATAACAGGGGATGGAAACTCGGGCTATAGACATGATTTTTAATCCATTTTAAATACTTAAAGTTTTAAAAATAGAATAAAATCTCGTAGACAAATTAATTGCACACCAAGTGAACGCAAATAAAAAAAAGCGCATAATAGTGCGCAATATTATAAGTACTTTTAAAATTTACATTAGGTTTTTGAGAAATCGGAAGTAGCGTAAATTACTACTTCCAGTCTACGGAAATTACTCAAAATTTAACAGAAGGTAGAGAATTAGATCTTTTACTTACATGTGAAATTTCATTTATCTATCTGAAATAGTACTCAAGTTATAGGCTTTTAAAAAATTCAAAGTAGGAAAAGTACCACTTCCGGTTATCGGAAATCGCTCAAAAGTTGATACGGATCTACGATTTTGATAAAATACTTATATATGAAATTTCATCAACCTAGCTGTAACGGTACTCAAGTTATCGTGTTTACACACGGACAGACAGACACACAGACACACACACACACAGACATACGGACAAGATTGCAAAATTATGTTTTTCCGTATCAGTGAGGTGTAAAACGTCGAGATTTGTAAAAATCTCGATTTTTTTTTTTGCACGATTACAATACTTTCTCTATACTACGTATATACGAGAAAGTAAAAATCACGAAAATAGACCGGAGGGGGTGTGTAGTTACTAGCTCCTAACACTCGATAAATACTGGCTGACATCGTAGTATGTTATCAGTGGTTAAGATCGAACGTGAATCACAGGTAAGTATTGGCTGACATCAAAGATAAATACTGGCTGACATCATAGCATGTTATCAGTGGTTAAGATCGAACGTGAATCACAGGTAAGTATTGGCTGACATCAAAGATAAATACTGGCTGACATCATAGCATGTTATCAGTGGTTAAGATCGAACGTGAATCACAGGTAAGTAGTGGCTGACATCAAAGGTAATTACTAGCTGACATTACAGGTAAGTATTGGCTGACATCAAAGGTAATTACTAGCTGACATCACAGGTAAGTATTGGCTGACATCACAGGTTCGTATTGGCTTACAACATAGGTAATTATTTAGTAAAATTTGATGACAGATTGCATTGTCATCGAGTCATGGCCACCACTCCAAGTTTGAAACGAATCAATCAGAAGTGTTCGAAATTTTGCTCGGCAGTTTCGGACTATGACAAAAGACAGACGGACAGGAAGACAGAGGAAACAAGTTATATATTAATATGAACTTATAAATGTTACAGAAAAGTAAAAACTTTTATTTGAACAAAATTTCAACCCCTACAAATGGCCTTATGAAAAAATAAAAGGTTTTCAACAAAGTGAAACAACCATAATATGTAAATTTCCCAACACAATAATCTAGAAATAGATCACTTGGTGGGGCAAGGGTCAGATACAACAGACCAAAAAAAACATATTACCTTATAAATGTAATATAAAAGTCTAAACTTTTATTTGAACATTTTCAATAAGTACACCTGGTACAATAAAAATAAGATTTTCAACAAAGAAAAACAATGAAAATGTGTACAGTTCCAAAAAACAACCTTAGATCACTAATGTTGAATTTTCTGTTTTAGATCCACTACTGGATCCAAAAAAAATTTCAATGCAACTTACATGACTGAAATATAAAATACAAAATTCAATATTTAAGCAAATTTAGAGTCAGAATCAATGTTTTTTAAAAGGCCCTAAAATCCAAGCCAATATATAAATATAAAAATAAACACACCAAAATTATTCTATTTAATTTGATTTAAAAAAAATTTTAACTGGTCCCATGCTTTCATTCTCTTTTTCTATTTCATGTTATCTGTAACAAATCCCATCTTAAACTTTGCTTACTACTATAACTAGCCAATATACTGGGCAATATTCAGATAAAACAGTTTAAAATACATTCTCTTAATCATTAGGTTTTGTAGGTTTGAATTTTAAGATAAAAAGAAAAGGGGTTGGAAGCAGGCATTGCTACTGATATAGAAATATAAGAATTTATGTCTATATTGCAAGATAAACTGCGGTGAAATATGTTTTGAAGTAATGTAATTACAAGAAAACTGTCTTTAGACTAACTTTATTATACTGATATAGGTGGGTCATGACCTCTAAACATAAGAGCCACTATATCTGTGTATTCATTTAGATAAAATAGTTTAGAATATAAAATATACTATTGTGGTTTTTAGAAAAACATAATGTATACTAGCCCAGAAGTCGGTTCTACAAATAGTATATTCATCTCTTTCATGCCCCATCTACTGATCCTGCCATGTTAAACCCCACCATAAGGTCCAAATATTTAAGTTATAACTCTGTAGAAACAACAAATACAATATAACAAAACTAAACAAAAAACACTACACATAAAAATAACACAAAAAATATGTAAAACTTAATGCAACACAATGTAATTCAATACAATATCTCAATACTGATTTTAAAAAAATACACATTGTGTTCTTTGTTTTGGTACAAAAGTACATGATCAGGACATTAGGCTATTAGAATTAATTTTTTATAAAAATACTAACAAAATGGTAACTGCCCAGTGAACATGTGCTTGACTTTAATGGAATCTAATAATGTACAATATCATAAATGCTAAACAATAAAAGGACAGGGTTTGTTAACTTGAAAAAAAAGATTCATTATCTGGGCAAAACTTCAATGGCCAATGTCACATTCAAGTAAACTTTCTGAGAAAACTTTTTGTGACAAATGCTTCATTCATATTGTTTTTCTCAAAAATTAATTCTTGTATGTATTGCTAAACCAGACTTGTATGCTGTCTTTTTGTGACAAATGTCTCATTCATATTCAAATGCTTTTTAGCCAGAATGATTTTTTTATGTATGGCTAAACTATACTTCTAAAGAAACTTTTTGTGACAAATGTCATATTCTTAAGGTTTATCTGCCGAATGAATTTTTTCATGTGATACTAAAGAAGTTTTCTGAGAATACTTTCTATGACAAATGTCACATTTATGTGCTTTTTAACCAGAATGTATTTTTTTATGTCTAGCTAAACTAGACTTGTATGCCATCTTTTTGTGACAAATGTCACATTCATAGAATTTATCTCCAGAATGAATTTTTTTATGTATGGCTAAACTAGACTGATGGAGAAACTTTTTGTGACAAATGTCACATTCATAAGGTTCATGACCAGAATGAATTCTTTTATGTATGACTAAATTAGACTTGCTTGATAACTTTTTGTGACAAATGTCACATTCAAATTCACATTGTTTTTGGCCAGAATGAATTATTTTATGTTTGAATAAACTTGACTGGTAAAGAAACTTTTTGTGACAAATGTCACATTCATATGGTTGATCTCCAGAATGAATTTTTGTATGTGTGGCTAAACTAGACTGGCGAAGAAGCTTTTTGTGACAAATGTCACATTCATATATTTTTTCGCCAGAATGAATTCTTTTATGTCTGCCTAAATCAGACTTGTATGATAACTTTTTGTGACAAATGTCACATTCAAATTGACATTGTTTTTGGCCAGAATGAATTATTTTATGTCTGACTAAACTAAACTTGCATGCTATCTTTTTGTGGCAAATGTCACATTCATAAGGTTTTTGGCCACAACTAATTTTTTTATGTTCGGCTAATTTAGACTTGTAAAGAAACTTTTTGTGACAAATGTCACATTCATATGGTTTATCTCCAGAATGAATTGTTTTATGTGTGGCTAAATTCGACTTGTAAAGAAACTTTTTGTGACAAATGTCACATTCATATGGTTTATCTCCAGAATGAATTTTTTTATGTGTGGCTAAATTCGACTGGTGGAGAAACTTTTTGTGACAAATGTCACATTCATACAATTTATCTCCAAAATGAACATTTTCATGTGATACTAAAGCACCTTTCTGAGTAAACTTTTTTTGACAAATAACACATTCATAAGGTTTATGACCAGAATGAATTCTTTTATGTATGACTAAATTAGTCTTGCGAGTAATCTTTTTGTGACAAATGTTACATTCATATTGTTTATCTACAGAATGGATTTTTTCATGTGATAATAAGTTACCTTTAAGAGAAAATGTTTTATGACAAATGTCACATTCATATGGTTTAAGTCCAGAATGTAGTTTTTTATGTTTGGCTAAACTAGTTCGGTGTGAAAACTTTTTGTGACAAATGTCACATTTATGTTGTTTTTGGCCAGAATGGATTTGTTTATGTAACTTTAAATTAGCTTGTTGGGTTAACTTTTTATGTTCAGAATGAATATTTCTTTTATGTGTGGATAAAAAAGCTTTACAAGAAAACTTTTTGTGACAAATGTCACACTGATGCAGCTTATTAACAAACTGAGCTTTGTTATGCTTTGACGAGACAACTTTCTTAGGAATCTTTTCACGACTTGAGTCAAATTTGTGTTGCATATCTTTTTGATGAATTGTGTTTTGCAGTAAAGAAACAGGCTTATGTTGTTTCTCACCTGTGTTTTTTTTTATATGCTCTTTAACATGGTTACAGCTTTCTGAACATACAGCCTCTTCATCTGCGTTCTCAGTTTTTTCCAAATTCGAAACGATGTGGTCCATGCAGGCAAATTTTTTACATTCACTACACTGATTGGTTTCCGTTCCCTTATGAATTAGGGGAACATTTGAAGATAAAATATTATTTGAATGGGTGAGCAAAATCTTAAGTTCTTTTAATTCAGTCCAAATATTTGATTCAATACATGGGATTTTTTCTTCACAAGTAGTTAAATGTGGTAGAGGTTGTATTTGTTCATCAAAACTATTTTGGTTTTCACTCTTGAATGATGAAATTGGCTTTCCTTCTTCGGAGTTTGAAAACAATGTTGATTTATCTTCTTTCATGTTGTCAAATGTTGAAAATGATGGAGAAACATCTAATTTTGTGTAATCAGTAGTCGAAAAAGAAGTCGATACATCTGGTTTTAAGTCCTCTAAAGCCATACACGATATTCCTAAATCCGATTCAATGTTATCAGTTGTAAATGATGTTGATACATCTACTTTCATATTTTCTAAAGCTGGAGATACATCTGATTTAATGTCATTAAAAGCGGATAATGAAATTGATACATCTGGTTTTACTTCTTCTAAAGTTATTTTAGATGTTACTACATCAGGCTTTATGTCAGGTGAAAATTCTGATTTTATTTCTTTATTGCATTCCTGTAGGAACTCGAATTGGCTCGGCAATGTTTTAAAATCAGCTTCCTCATCCATTCTGTATAATTTTTATCTGGTAAATTGATGACTAAAGCTAAAAAAAAAAAAAAAAAAAAAAACCAATTATGACTACAAGCCAAACTAAATTATAAAAATAAAATATATTTATAATTGAAACCATAAACTAAGTAATTAAGTAAAGAAACTGAGGCCATACACTAATGCATTTTTAAAAGTAATAAAAGAATCTGAATTGAGGCCGGTATACTGCATTTTTAAAGACTTTTTGTTAATTGTAACAGAAATTGACTAATACACTCAATGTTACTGTGCTCAGTAAAATTTTTGTGATTGACTTCTTGAGCTAGTAGGGCATTAAGATGTGATAAGGCTAAGGAGAGTACAAGTATTATGGTATGTTGAGACCAAGGAAGGTTTTAAGATGTGATGAGGCTAAGGAGAGTACAAGTATTATGGTATGTTGAGACTAAGGAAGGTTTTAAGATGTGATGAGGCTAAGGAGAGTACAAGTATTATGGTATGTTGAGACTAAGGAAGGTTTTAAGATGTGATGAGGCTAAGGAGAGTACAAGTATTATAGTATGTTGAGACTAAGGAAGGTTTTAAGATGTGATGAGGCTAAGAGCACTTTGATGCAGAGAGCTAAAAACAAATATCTTCTCACAATGTAAAAACATTACTTATCTGGCTGTCTACATTATAATATAGATCTAGACTTTAGTAAAGAATATTATTTTTTATTTTAGTAGATGTGTGTGAATAAAAATTTTGCAAATGTCATTTAAAAGGATAAATTTAATTTCAAAAAGTCTGTACAACACTCCTAGTTTTGTTTTTGTTAAGAAAGAAATTTGTTTTGATTTCTAAATTCTTAAAATTGTTAAAAAAATATTAATTGAAAGATTAAAGGCTAGTATTTTTTTTTTCTATTTTAGCATTAAAGTAAGCATACAAATATGAAATCTGATTTATAATAGATAGATCTATAAACTATTTATCCTATTTAACAATAAAAATGATTAGTTTTAGATAGCTAATGAGCTCAGCAAAGTTTTATAATCAGCTTCCACTTCCATTCTGGATACATTTTAAACTGGTAAATTAATGACTAAGCTAAAAATTAAAAAAAAACACTTAAGATTACAAAGTAAACTAAATTATAATGATTTATTATGTTTGGGAGGGTAAACACAATTTTTGATGTTGAAATGCTTCATGTTTTAATGAATTGCCTATAAAGCTATAGAGTATAGAGTAGGCCTATATAGATTCTAGCTGTTGCTTGTCCTACTTTTTTTAAGCTGTTGCCTTGGTAGAGGAAGATATTGTAAGAAATAATGTCTTGTTGCATAAAAACAATTTATTATTATTTACTTTGTTTGATGACAGGAAATTAAATGCCCTGCCATAATAAATTAATAATTTTCATTAATAGAAAAATTAACCAAAAATAATACCTTGGCCTTGATTAAGGCAACAGACAAGACTAAGTCTGCTGTATATTTCAGTGGGGAAGAACTCTAACACAAAAGACACACTTGTGCAGAACAAACTATCGCATCTAACACTCCTTAAAAATGAACACACCATGTCAGTCATAGCATCATTTAGATCTACATTTAATAGTAAAAAAAATTTTCAAAGATAATTTTCTAAGTTGTAAATTAATTCTGATGATTAAAATTAGCATCAAATTAACTGTAAATTAATGTAGTTTTAAAACATTAATGAAACTAAAATCTGCGTCTCCCTGGAATTAAACTACGATTAGACTAAGGTGGTTTGAAGAAGTGATCTAAAAAAAAGTTAGTTCATCACAAAGGCCTAATATTATAAAATTACTAATATGGGTATCTACATTATATTGGCTACATAAATTAGTAGGCCCTACTAAGGGCATAAGGGGTATTTATTATTTTATTAGCAGTTGTGTATGTGATAATGATTAAAACTTAAAAGTAAAAGATAAGTGATTACAAAAAATTCAAATTTAAAATATTTATAATAGTAATAGGCCTAAGTTTTAGATTTTAGATTCTAAATGCAGTAAAAATAGGAACAAATAAAATTTATTTTTTTTCTTTAGTAAAAGCGTTTAATTTAAAGTCACTGCAGGTGTTCTAAAAATTCTAATGATAATTCTGATAGTAACCTATGTCCTATGCCGCTATGGCTTCACGATGGCGTCCTATGGGGCTAATACTAATAGTTAATAGGCCTAGATCTATAGTCTATAGTACTCTATAGTCTAGATCTAGGCCTATATAATATTAATAGGCCTAATAATTAATATAATATATATAGATCTCTATATTATAGTCTAGCTCTAAAACTAATTTGTATAGTTACAAAATTATTTTAAAAATATAAAAATATAGCCTATCGATCTATCTGTTGTACTTTAGTTAGATCTAGAATATAGATCTAGAATCTTGATCAACTAGATCTAATACTAATGATGGAGGCGAGCGAGTTGACGAGATTCCTTCCATAATGTTGTTGTCATGGAATAAAAACGTGCTTTTTAGATTTAGACCGTAAAAAAAATAAAAAAATAAAAACTTAAGCCTAAAATTAATTTAGAAATTTTATATTTTTAGAATAAATGCTATAAAAGTTGCAAATCCAGAGAACTTGAAAATAATTTGTTGAGTTTAAGGCTACATTTCTATTTATTTTCATCAAGCCTAAGTTATAACCGGATGTTTCACTTTCGTAAGACAAATATTGATTGGCTGTACAGTAACTTAGTGATCGATAACTATTTGTTTACAAAACTTTGCAGATCAAGTTTTTAAATAAGTATGCAAATTTAAAACCCCATGACCTAGTTTTCTATTTTTAGCTTACAATGTGTACAATAAAATCAATGGCGGCCTATCCAATAGCAGGATGCCATTGTTTATGTCGCCATTACACGTGAAAACCAAATTGTTTTTGCTTTTTTTTAAATTTTTATTTAGTTACCGAAAATATTATAAACATCAAATACATCCAATCTTTAGTAAAGTCCGAAAAAAACCAGACAGACAGGATTTTATAACCATATTAATTGTAACTACGCTGTGCATGATTTTTAAATGAATTTATACACCTTTCAAATACCTTTGAGACTTTTCTCGCTCGTGTCCATTAATAATATACAGTACAGGGCTTGTTAAAGAAAATATAATTTAGAGTAGTTTCCCTTTAAAATGTATGCCTATTAAATTTTCGTTTGTTTAATTAGGATTGTTTTGATATATACTAAAAACCAAGTGTTTCTTTTTAAATTCTACACTTTAAAATGTTTATTCACTGACATTCAATATCGTACATTCTAGAATTAATATTGTAAAATGCAACTTTTAAACAGTTAGAAAGACTTGTGTTTTTGTTTTGTTTAGGCCTAGTCTATGTGTTTTTATAATATAGGGCCCTAGTGTTTATTTGAACTTTGAACATTGCTAAACAGTTTGAGTATATTCCTGTTAAGTGCTCTTTTCATTTTCCAGTTTTAAGTATTTATTTTCTTTATTGTAAATAATGTCATTTCTATTTGTACCTCCCCATATATATATATATATATATATATATGAACAAATGGGGGCCCCCAACATTTTTAGCCCGGGGCCTCTCTCAAGCTTAATCCGTCCCTGCATATTGCATGGATTCAATACATTTCACGGATTTTCTTGTCTATATTTTATATTACTAGTAAATTAGCATACAATCAGAATGGGGGGGAGGGGTAGAGACGATAGTGTTTGGCCTAAAAGCTTAGGACTACGAAAAATAAAAACATGTTTTCATTATTTAAAATTACCTAATAAACCTTTTTGCAATAAAAACAAAGTAACATGAAACAAAGAGATGGGCGTTAGATTGGTTCAGTTTTGGATCCATTTGGTTCTGTTCTGTTTTTATCTCACACATCACAGACAAAAAGATCACACTCACATACATTCACCGACACACATACATACCTGACAATCGAGCCACACACAGACCAGATACAGAGTTTCTTCCAGGCATCTCTTCGGGGGGGCCGAAGCCCCCCCGAAAAATTTTTACCGCCCCCCCGAACGAAATGAAATTTATATAATTTATATAGAAAATATATACTTTTAACAGTGTCCGCCCCCCCGAAGAAAGTTTACCGCCCCCCCCCGAAGATTTCAAGTGCCCCCCCCGGAGAAAAAAGTCTGGAAGAAACACTGACCAGATACACATAGATTCATCTACACACTCACAATCAAACACTTTGATACTGAAACATATACAGGGAAACATGAGATACAAAGCACACATAGAATCCTTCCGACATACGCACACGAACCAACAGACTTTATTTTTTATAGACAAGCGCTAAAAACGTGTCCATTATTCACTTTATAAACCAACCGTGTCTGCTGAAGCACTATTCTTAGGTATCTCAACTTTTCCTGTAATACACAATAAAAAAATTCATTTCGATTTTCGGCTTGAAACAATAAATATTCATTGTAATCAGAAACTTTCAGTATTCATATTCTATTACATAATGCAATACAGTCGTGCAAATCTAGGTTTATCACTAGTAGCCCATACTCTCAAGTGTCTGTTGTTAATTTATGAAGTAACAGCGCAACGACTTATTTAAAAGGTAATTTTAAAATAAAAATGAAAGATAAGTGTAGGAATTTGAATTCATAAATCATATTTTTTAAAGATCTTATGTTGAATTGCAACTTAATAATTTGATATGTTGAGGCAAAAGGCCAAAAGTAAAACAATAGTTAGAGAAAAATTAAATGTATTATGATTTTAAACTATTAAACTCACCAGAGCGGAGACAACTGTTGACAGCGAACACTGCTGCCAATAACCCAACAGAGAAGAGGATTTTCCGTTTAAGTTATTTTGTCTCAGTGGATCACTTAACAAGCGTGTTTATTGCTTCAGTAACTGAGTAAGTGATGTAGCTAAATATCAAACTTAATAGCCGTCGGTACCCGTTACACGTGAATTATAGGCCTATATATTTTTAATGTTAAAATGTTTGAGAAAAATATTTTATAAAATAGTTTCTGGTCAAAACGCAATGTGCCTTACTACACATTAAACAATGTTAGTGACAAAGCAAAGAAATAACTAAATAGCTAAAAAAAAACGGACACATTAACAATAACATTAACATAGGCTACCAATACCTACTAGAAAAATTAAAACCAAATTAACGGCTATACATTATTAGTCAACAGAACATCAAATTAAATCCACACACTGATTAAGATACGTAAATGATTCCGTTAAAAATCCGGCTATTCAATGGCCATTATGTTGCTTTTTAAAGTAATTTCTATTAGTTTGACCGAGAAAATTGTATATATTTCATAGCGTACGTCTTGGTACGTAGATTTATAAAATCTAGATCTAAATCAAATTTGAACGTAATAGTTAATCTCTTTATATTCTAAAATTGGAAGATGACGCGATTAGTTTTGAGTTTTTCCATAGTGTAAACATGTGGCTTGTGACGTCATTGTTTATTGCGTTCTTGTCACAACTATAAACACTTTACCGGTTGTATAAGTAAAACTGTGTTTCTACATTCGAATAAGCCTTTATTTTTCTTGTTCAAATAGGTAATACATTTAAAACATCTAACATTATTTTCAACGAAGGTCCGTATCAAGTTCTCCATATATCTCTGAAGATTTCATATCCTGTGAAAATATTTTGCGAGGAGGTGGCCAAGTTTATCATGTCTTTGGAGCAACGCAACACGGTGTATCTTATCTATTACAACTACTTCAAAGTTGCGATTATCCCCAGTTTACTTTATACCTTTCTTTAAACTTTCTAAGACCAAACATTACAGGATTCCACTCCTGATGCCATACTCTTACTGTGACTGCTTGTATGATTGTATTAACAATAAACATGTTTTTAAGTGTAAACAAGCAGAGGCGTAGCGACCCTTCCCGGCACCCGGGGACAAACTTTCGATTTGCACGCCCCCCCCCCTCAAACTTTTTATTTGCCCCCCCCCATCAAACTTTCAATTTGGCGCCCCCCCCTCAGGTCGGCGCCCGGGGACATATGTCCCCCCCCTCCCGCCCCCCCCCCCCCCCCCCTCTGTAAACAAGACAACTATCGTTAGCCTTCATTTCTTTAACTTTTTGCTTTTATTTATACGAGAAAGAGTCAAATGAGTAGAACACTATATGGTGCCAAAGTTATTTCCCCGAAGACGTATGTATGTGCCACTACACATAGACCGCGAAATTAGAAAAATGTTTCAAAAAATATTTTAAAAAAAATATTTAAATGGTAATTTTTAAATTTATTTTTAAAATTCTTTTTCTTAAACTCACACGTTCGGGCATATGCGGCCAAAAGATCAAAGATACAGTTAATCTTTTTCTGTGTTCTTGGCATATGAAGGAGTTGTGTACACACCTGCCTGTACTTTTCGTAACGTGATTCAGGTATCCTTCAGAGCTGCCTGGAGTCTATTACGTCCCAATACCCCGAGCAGATGATTTGAGCTCGAGACTTGCAGGTAGGCTGTCGTGTGCTCTACTATCCGACCACCCCGTCCCAATTACCCCTAAATGTTACATAATTATTATCTAGGTTCACCTGCCTGTTACTCACAAAGAGAACAGTCGAAGAAATTCCGAAAACAGAATAAAATGAAGAAAAGAGACCGGAGCGTATATGTAGTTACTAGCTTCTAACACTCGATAGATAAATAATGGCTGACATCATTGTATGTTATCAGAGGTTGAGATAGCACGTGAATCACAGGTAAGTAGGGGCTCACATTACAGGTAAGTAATGGCTCAGGCTACATCATAGGTAAATACTAGCTAACATCACAGGTCAGTATTGGCTTAGGATTCTTCATAGATAAATACTAGCTAACATCACAGGTAAGTACTGGCTGATGTCACAGGTAAATACTGGCTGACATCATAGTTATTTTGGCTGTCATGACAGGTTCGTATTGGCTTAGAACATAGGTAATTATTTAGTAAAATTTGATGACAGATTGCATTGTCATCGGGTCATGGCCACCACTCCAAGTTTGAAACGAATCAATCAGAAGTGTTCGAAATTTTGCTCAGCAGTTTCGGACTATGACGAAAGACAGATGGACAGGAAGACAGAGGAAACAAGTTACATATTGATATGAACTTATAAATGTTACAGAAAAGTAAAAACTTTTATTTGAACAAAATTTCAACCACTGCAAATGGCCTTATGAAAAAATAAAAGGTTTTCAACAAAGTAAAATGTAAATTACCTAACACCATAATCTAGAAATAGATCACTTGGTGGGGCAAGGGTCAGATACAACTGACAAAAGCAAACATATATTACCTTATAAATATTATATAAAAATCTAAACTTTTATTTGAACATTTTCAATAAGTACACCTGGTACAATAAAAATAAGATTTTCAACAAAGAAAAACAATGAAAATGTGTACAATTCCAAAAACAACCTTAGATCACTAATGTTGAATTTTCTGTTTTAGGTCCACTACTGGATCCAAAAAAAATTTCAATGCAACTTACATGACTGAAATATATAATACCAAATTCAATCTTTAAGCAAATTTAGAGTCAGAATCAATGTTTTTAAAAGGCCCTAAAATCCCAGCCAATATATAAATATAAAAATAAACACACCAAAATATATTCTATTTAATTTGATTTAAAATTTTTTTAGCTGGTCCCATGCTTTGATTCTCTTTTTCTATTTCATGTTATCTGTAACAAATCCCATCTTAAACTTTGCTTACTACTATAACTAGCCAATATACTGTGCAATATTCAGATAAAACAGTTTAAAATACATTCTCTCAATCATTAGGTTTTGTAGATTTGAATTTTAAGATAAAAAGAAAAGGGGTTGGAAGGAGGTGTTGCTACTGATATAGAAATATAAGAATTTATGTCTATATTGCAAGATAAATAAACTGTGGTGAAATATGTTTTAAAGTAATGTAATTACAAGAAAACTGTCTTTAGACTAACTTTATTATACTGATATAGGTGGGTCATGACCTCTAAACATAAGAGCCACTATATCTGTGTATTCATTTAGATAAAATAGTTTAGAATATAAAATATACTATTGTGGTTTTTAGATAAACATAATGTATACTAGCCCAGAAGTCGGTTCTACAAATAGTATATTCATCTCTTTCATGCCCCATCTACTGATCCTGCCATGTTAAACCCCACCAAACAATACATAAGGTCCAAATATTTAAGTTGTGACTCTGTAGAAACAACAAAACACAATATAACAAAACACAACAAAAAATAAATCATGAAAAACGTTTTAATAACAAACTTTTATGTACTAATGCACTAAAACGTAGACTACTATTTAAATAACTATAAAGAAAAGCGTGGGACACTTTAGTATCTATTGGATATCTTTACTAATATTTAGGAAGAGACCTACGCTTTTTTTTATAGTTATTTAAATAGTAGTCTATAATTTATTTTCTCCTTTTTTTAAATATGTAAAACTTAATGCAACACAATGCAATTTAATACAATATCTCAATAATGGTTTAAAGAAATATACACTGTGTTCTTTGTATTGGCACAAAAGTACATGATCAGGACATTAGGCTATTAGAATTAATTTTTCATAAAAATGGTAACTGTCCAAAAAACATATGCTTTACCCCCCACACCACCCCATTCCCCCATGCCAACTTCATGTAATGAAACCTCCATTTATGCACAAGCTATTGCATATTCTAATAACAAGATACCCTATTATAAAATTTAATGGAATCTAATAATGAACAATATCATAAATGCTAAACAATAAAAGGAAAAGGTTGGTTAACTAATTAATGAAAAAAAGATTCATTATCTGGGCAAAATTTCAATGACAAATGTCAGATTGAAGTGGTTTTTACGTGTTACAATAAATGAACTTTCTGAGAAAACTTTTTGTGACAAATGTCGCATTCTTATGGGTTTTTGTCAGAATTAATTCTTGTATGTATTGCTCAAACAGACTTGTATGCTGTCTTTTTGTGACAAATGTCTCATTCATATTCAAATTCTTTTTAGCCAGAATGATTTTTTTATGTATGGCTAAACTATACTTGTAAAGAAACTTTTTGTGACAAATGTCACATTAATATTGCTTATTTACAGAATGAGTTTTTTCATGTGATAATAAGTGAGATTTCTGAGAATGTTTTATCACAAATGTCACATTCATAAGGTTTATGACCAGAATGAATTCTTGTATGCATGACTAAACTAGACTTGTCAGCTATCTTTTTGTGGCAAATGTCACATTCATATTGTTTATCTACAGAATGAGTGTTTTCATGTGATAATAAGTGAGCTTTTTGAGAACATTTTTTTATGACAAATGTCAAATTCATATGGCTTTTCGCTAGAATGATATGGCTTTTCGCTAGAATGAATTCTTTTATGTATGACTAAATCAGACTTGTATGATAACTTTTTGTGACAAATGTCACATTCAAATTCACATTGTTTTTGGCCAGAATGAATTATTTTATGTTTGACTAAACTTGACTGGTAAAGAAACAATTTGTGACAAATGTCACATTCATTTGGTTTATCTCCAGAATGAATTTTTTTATGTGTGGCTAAACTAGACTGGCATAGAACCTTTTTTTTTTGACAAATGTCACATTCATAAGATTTATCTGCCTATTGAATTTTTTCATGTGATACTAAAGAAAGTTTTCTCAGAATACTTTCTATGACAAATGTCACTTTCATGTGGTATTTAACTAGAGTGAATTTTTTTATGTTGAGCTAAATTAGACTTGTATGCTATCTTTTTGTGACAAATGTCACATTCATAGGGTTTTTCTCCAGAATGAATTTTCTTATGTGATACTAAATATGTTTTCTGAGTGAACATTTTATGACAAATGTCACATTCATACGGTTTATGGCCAGAATGAATTCTTTTATGATAGGCTAATTTAGAAAGGTAAGGAAACTTTTTGTGACAAATGTCACATTCATGAGGCTTTAGACCAGAATGAATTTTTTTATGTGCGGCTAAATTCGACTTGTCAAGAAACTTTTTTTGACAAATGTCACATTCATATGGTTTTTTGCCAGAATGAACTTTTTCATGTAATACTAAAGAACGTTTCTGAAAATACTTTCTATGACAAATAACACATTCATAAGGTTTCTCTCCAGAATGAAAATAATTTCCATGTGATACTAAAGAACTTTTCCTAGAAAACTTTTTATGACAAATGTCACATTCATATATTTTTTCGCCAGAATGAATTCTTTTATGTCTGCCTAAATCAGACTTGTTTGATAACTTTTTGTGACAAATGTCACATTCATATTGACATTGTTTTTGGTCAGAATGAATTACTTTATGTTTGACTAAACTTGACTGGTAAAGAAACTTTTTGTGACAAATGTCACATTCATATGGTTTATCTCCAGAATGAATTTTTTTATGAGTGGCTAAACTAGACTGGCTAAGAAGCTTTTTGTGACAAATGTCACATTCATAAGGTTTTTGGCCACAAAGAAATTTTTTATGTGTGGCTAAATATGACTGGTAAAAAAACTTTTGGTGACAAATGTCACATTCATATGATTTATTTCCAAAATGAATATTTTGATGTGACACTAAAGTACTTTTCTGAGAATACTTTTTATGACAAATAATACATTCATAAGGTTTTTCACCAGAATGAATTCTTTTATGTATGACTAAACTTGACTGGTAAAGAAACTTTTTGTGACAAATGTCACATTCATATGCTTGATCTTCAGAATGAATTTTTTTATGAGATATTAAGTTAGCTTTCTGAGAAAATGTTTTATGACAAATGTCACATTCAAAAGGTTTATGACTAGAATGAATTCTTTTATGTATGACCAAACTAGACTTGCATGCTATCTTTTTGTGGCAAATGTCACATTCATATTGTTTATCTACAGAATGAGTGTTTTCATGTGATAATAAGTAAGCTTTCCGAGAAAATGTTTTATGACAAATGTCACATTCATATGGTTTATGTCCAGAATGTAGTTTTTTATGTCTGGCTAAACTAGGTTGGTGTGAAAACTTTTTAAGACAAATGTCACATTCATGTTGTTTTTGGCCAGAATGAATTTGTTTATGTAATTCTAAATTAGCTTGGTGGGTTAACTTTTGATGTTCAGAATGAATATTTCTTTTATGTGTGGATAAAAAAGCTTTACAAGAAAACTTTCTGTGACAAATGTCACACTGATGCAGCTTATTAACAAACTGAGCTGTATTATGTGTAGACAAGACAACTTTCTCAGATATCTTTTCATGACTTGAGTCAAATTTGTGTTGCATATCTTTTTGATGAATTGTGTTTTGCAGTAAAGAAACAGCCTTATGTTGTTTCTCACCTGTGTTTTTTTTTATATGCTCTTTAACATGGTTACAGATTTCTGAACGTACAGCCTCTTCATCTGAGTTCTCAGTTTTTTCCAAATTTGACACGATATGGTCCATGCAGGCAAATTTTTCACATTCACTACACTGATCGGTTTCCGTTCCCTTATGAATTAGGGGAACATTTGAAGATAAAATATTATTTGAATGGGTGAGCAAAATCTTAAGTTCTTTTAATTCAGTCCAAATATCTGATTCAATACGTGGGATATTTTCTCCACAAGTAGTTAAATGTGGTAGAGGTTGTATTTGTTCATCAAAACTATTTTGGTTTTCACTCTTGAATGATGAAATTGGCTTTCCTTCTTCGGAGTTTGAAAACAATGTTGATTTATCTTCTTTCATGTTTTCAAATGTTGAAAATGATGGAGAAACATCTAATTTTGTATAATCAATAGTTGAAAAAGAAGTTGATAAATCTTGTTTTAAGTCCTCTAAAGCCATACACGCTGTTCCTAAATCAGATTCAATGTTATCAGTAGTAATTGATGTTGATACATCTATTTTCATATTTTCTAAAGTTGGAGATACATTTGATTTAATGTCATTAAAAGTGGATAGTAAAATTGAAACATCTGGTTTTGAGTCCTCTAAAGCTATACATGATGTTCCTAAATCCAGTTCAATGTTATCTGTTGTAAATGGTGTTGATACACCTACTTTCATTTTTTCTAAAGCTGGAGATACATCTGGTTTTACTTCCTCTAAAGTTATTAAAGATGTTTTTACATCAGGCTTTATGTCAGCTAAAGTTATGTTAGGGGATAATTCTGATTTTATTTCCTTATTGCATTCCTGTAGAAGCTCGAATAGGCTTGGCAAAGTTTTAAAATCAGCTTCCTCATCCATTCTGTATAATTTTTATCTGGTAAATTGATGACTAAAGCTAAAAGGAAAAAAAAAACAAATATGATTACAAGCCAAACTAAATTGTAAAAATAAAATATATTTATAATTGATACCATAAACTAAGTAATTAAGTAAAGAAACTGAGCCACACACAAATGCATTTTTAAAAGTAATATAAGAATCTGAAGAATCTGAATTTAGGCTGCTATGGGGGTCGTTCTTAAATGACGTCACATGTCACATTTGTAGGGGGGAGTGGGGTTACGTAATTTTGTGACGGAGTGTGACGAGGGAGAGGGGGGTTCAGATGGTGCGACGTCACACTTTTGCATTATATAAAGCAATGTTAGAAAACAAATTTAAGACGTTATTTTGAGTTCAAGAAAACTGTTTTAATAAAGTGCAATAGGAATTGATTAAAATACTCTATTTTGACAGAGTTCAGACAAGATTTTGGAAAAAAATCGATGTTTTAAGAGCAGTTATCAGATATGAAACATGAACTATAAGTAATATAAGTATTAAGTATTAAGCATATGGGTAATCTATCGTTTTGGGTACGTACTATCGCCTGCGATTTGTAATGTGAAAAACAGGTGACTCCTTGAATTTTAATAATTATTTCACATTTTGAGGAGGATTTATGTTTTAAAAAATGTTTCCTTTATTCATTTATGTACCTGTTTTTAAACACTTGAATTAAAACTTTTCCGTAATAAATGAAGACTAGCGATGTTTCCAACAGATGCAACCATGCTCATTTACTATAGCAGCCATCTTGTCTAAGTTTTATTTTTATAAGCTTATAGCGCCAGATTCAGGGGGAAGCCACTCTATTTTACAAATGACTGCTGTTTATATAGCAAATCTTGCTCTCAGACACTGCTGTTTAAAGTTAATTTCTGGCCCCTATCGATATATTTAGCTATTGATTTAGGTTTATTATTCATTTATCTATAATATTTGACACAAACATATGACAATATACTTCTATTAAAGCCTTGACAATGAGGTAACGTTTTCGTACATAAATAGCCGCGGGCGATTTTACGTACCCAAAACGATAGATTACCACTAGGCCTAATTTACCAGCATATGAAATATGAAAGGCCTATTACAGGGGTCGGCAACCTTTTGAGACATAAGAGCCAAAAGTTACAATTTACAACATTACCCGGTTTTTAAAGAGCCACTAACATTTTTATGTCAATAGTATATTTGTTTAGGATTATATATATATATATATAGGCTATATATATATATATATATATAAACCTAAACAAATATATTATATTTGTAATTTTAAATAAATAGCTTTAAACAATGAAATAATCTCATTTGAATTTGTGTTGAGAGGATCTACTATGTAAGTCAGAGTACTTGCATTTGTTTTGAATTTCTCAAATCTCTCAGTGAAAACATCCTTCATTTTGTTTATATTGATGCTGAAGTGATTGAATCGTAGCATTGGTTTCATAACGATATTTTTTCAGATTTTTCGTAATTTAGTAATTTACCGCTCACCATGTATTCAACAAAAAAGTATTTTTTTTCGAAACAAACCACTTCTTCAAGCAAGACATAGTCAGGGTTTTCCTTTCAGTTTTACACTAATTATTAGCTGGTTCAGTGGCGTAGGCAGGGGGGGTCATAACCCCCCCCCCCCATAGACCCCTCGGTATATATAAAAAGTATGAGGGGGGTGCAAATCGAAAGTTTGAGGGGGGGGGTGCAAATCGAAAGTTTGAGGGGGGGGGGGGGTGCAAATCGAAAGTTTGAGGGGGGGGGTGCAAATCGAAAGTTTGAGGGAGGGGGGTGCAAATCGAAAGTTTGAGGGGGGGGTGCAAATCGAAAGTTTGTCCCCGGGTAAAAATTGGAACCCCCCCTTGAGACGATCCTGGCTACGCCACTGAGCTGGTTTAGTTTCTTTGTGATATGCACTATGAAGATAAATGTTTCAATTCGGAATAAACAATGTAATAGGAAGTACATTGAGATCGGGAGTAACTAAATATTATAATACAATAGTGAATGTTTATTGTTTATATCTATTGTTATATCGTTTATTACCGAGTTTTGCAGACAAATATTTTTTATGAGTTTTGAAAATAAAATAATTATTAATATTTGTGCATGGAGTTGAAGAGCCGCAACTGGACACCAAAAGAGCCGCATGCGGCTCGCGAGCCACAGGTTGCCGACCCCTGGCCTATTACTAATTAATAATTAAAATTATTTTTTTTTAAAACATTCGGTAAAATCTTAGTTTAGCGTCGTAAATTCCAACGTAGCTAGTAATGTGCGATGAAGGTAACTAATGAATATTTCTTTCATTTGGCCATATTTATGTCATATTTTACATAATATAACAGATAATTGAATAACATATCACAATCCAAGACCAAACCAGTCATAAATATCCTGGAATTAACTTTAAACTACCCCGTTCGAGACAACAATGAGTAAATACAAGCAGCGGCCATGTTTCAAAAACAAAAAATTGTCTATTTGCATGTCTTTTGTGTTGATATCGTGGTTTAATATGATTTTTTTGTATTGTTGTAATATATGCCGGGGGTCGTCCATAAATGACGTCACACTCGTAGGGGGGGGGGGGGGGGGTCCGTAATTTTGTGGCGTTGTGTGATGAGGGGGGGGGGGGGGTCAGATGGTGCGACGTCACACTTTTGCATTTTAAAAAAGCAATGTTAGAAAACGAATTTTAGACGTTATTTTGCGTTTTAGAAAAGTGTTTTAATACATTATAATAAAAATTGATTAAAATACTCTATTTTGACAGAGTTCAGACAAGATTTTGGAAAAACACAGCTGTTTAAAAACAATTCAACTGCAATTTTGAGAGGGGTTGTAGGCTAAGGTGTGACGTCATCTTAGGGGGGGGGGTGTCTGGCTTTTTGTGACGACGTGTGACGGAGGGGGAGGGGGGGGGGGTAAAAATCGTCAAAAAAGCGTGACGTCATTTATGGATGACCCCCTGTATAGCAATTTTTCTTTTTTTTTAAATATAGTTGACATGAATGACTAATAGACCTTTTCAGACTTAATAGTGTGCATCCAAGACCACAACAATTGTTGGGAGGTCGAACTTTTGAACACTTTATTTGCAGTAAGCAAATCAATATTAGATCGCTTATAAATGACGTCGCTCTTAAGATAGTAATAACAGCATGCATTATTACAGAGCAAACATATGAACATATTAAGAAGGGTCAAGAAATGTAAAAAGCTTGGTCACCGAGATAACGCTCGCACGTGACGTCATGTACCGATACCGCGGACCGTTAGGCTAATTTTATAGGAAAAAAAACAACAAGCACTTCCTTTTTGACGCTTTTGCGACGTTTAATTTGATTACATAAGTTGGTGTTCATTAAACAGCCCCTAACACACAGAGTTTCTTGGAATTTACGACGCTAAACTAAGATTTTACCCAGTTTTGGCCGAATTTACGACGCTAAAATAAGATTTTAACAAACATTCTATAGGGCAGGCCTATCTAGTTACTACTAGGTCTAGTATCTATCATCTACTCCTATCTACTATCTAGATCTATAAATCTATATTCACTATGTCACTATATCTAGAATCTTGATCTAGATCTACTAATACAAATATTATACAGTAAATACACAGAGCTTGCTAAAGAAAATATTATTTAGAGTAGTTTCCCTTTAAAATGTATTCCTATTAAATTTTCGTTTTTTTTTAAAATTAGGATTGTTTTGATATATACTAAAAACCAAGTGTTTTTTTTTTAATTCTACAGTTTAAAATGTTTATTGACTGACATTCAATATCGTACATTCTAGAATTAATATTGTAAAATGCAACTTTTAAACAGTTAGAAAGACTTGTGGTTTTTTTTGTATAGTCCTATGTGTTTTTATATTATCTATATACATAATTCTCTTCTGGGAGACATTAGAAAACAAGCTGCAAGCGCGCCTTACAGTCCCCTCTCTTTCTCTCTATCGCTATCACTACCACCCTCACCCCCCCCCCCACACACACACACACATTGTCTGGTGAGCGGTGTTAACTCTAAATGTTTACAAATCGTAGAGCCGGGTTTAGTTACGGCTATTAGGGGCAGATAATTTAGTTTGATAAGATTTTAAACTTAGAGGAGGTAACTAAGAGGAAGCTGCTTTCACGGAGGGGGGGGGGGTATGGTAGGGGTTGGGGGAAAGTAATGTTTATTTGAACTTGGAACAAAGAGTTTGAGTATATTTCCTGTTAAGTGCTCTTTTCATTTTCCAGTTTTAAGTATTTTTTTAATTGTAAATAATGTAATTTATATTTGTACCTCCCCATATATATATTATTATATTATATATCTATAATATAAGCGGGCAAGTAGTGTGTCAGTCCTTCTGTCATCGCTATAGATTTTGAAACCATAAAAGTAAACATCGCACCATACTGTGCTTTTCAGTGCACCGCAGTGTCTTATCTATCTTCTATATATATAATTCTCTTCTGGGAGCCATTAGAAAACAAGCTGCAAGCGCGCCTTTGCAGTCCCCTCTCTTCCTCTCTATCACTATCACTATCACTACCACCCCCCACCCCCACCCCACCCCCACATGATCTGGTGAGCTGTGGTTCACTCTAAATGTTTACAAATTGTAGAACCGGGTTTGTTGACGGCTATTAGGGGCAGATAATTTAGTTTGAAACGATTTTAAACTTACACGAGGTAACTAAGAGGAGGCTGCTTTCACGGGGGAGAGGGGGTGTAGGGTAGGGGTTGGGGGAAAGGGCGGGGGGGGGGGGGGGGGGGTTAGTGTTTTAAAGCAAATATTTTCAGTGGCAGCATTGGTACTGTCGAATTCACAAATTATGAATTACTGAAAAGTAGAAAATAAAACAACTAAATAGCGGCGTATGATACGCCGCGGGTCGGCTCGATATAAGTATTAGAGTAGGGTTTGTTTATATAACAGCATAGAGCTATTTTATAATTGCCACTGTTTTTACTTTTTTGCATAACGTAAAGAAAATATTAAATACACGCACATTGCTAAAACATATTAAAAGGATCAATGTCAAATATCGTTTTCGTTTAGATTCTCAGAAAAAGTAGATACATTTTAATAACATAATATCAGTAGGGTAGAAAAACCTAACTAAACTGTTTAGTAATTTTGCCAAAGGAGGTAATTTAAAAATAAATTGAACTCACGCTAAAAGTGTGAATTCAAAAGTGCACGACGGAATAATAGTGGGAATAATATAATTAGCAAAATGTGAATGCAAATTGTGCAGATGTGGAAGAGGAAATTATTGTTAGAAAATTATAATGAGCATGGATTGATAAAAGGCAATCTTTTATTTATTTTATTCACTGAATGTACTGTTTACTACTTCTAATTTTTAATCAACTATTCCGCACCATTATAGACGCGTCATCACGTTCATTGGGTGCGCAATGCTTTTAGTTATGAAACTATTGTAAATTTTTAAAATTTAAAGTACTGGAAAAAAAATGCGTGAATTGATATGGTAGGTAAACACGGATATTTTAAATATTGCCTATTATTTATTGTATATTATTTATTATTATTCTATCTTTCGGTTTGCGGACAAGCTGGGGTTTTATAGGAGAGGCGTAGCGAGGGGGGGGGGCATATGTCCCCGGGTGCCGGCCTTAGGGGGCGCCAAAGTGGGTTGGAAAAAAAATTGCGGGGGGGGGGGGTGGAAATCGAAAGTTTTAGGGCGGGGGAGGGGTGCAAATCGAAAGTCTGAGGGGGATGCCAATCAAAAGTTTAAGAGGGTGGGGTGGAAATTGAAATTTTGAGTAAAGGGGGTGCAAATCGTAAGTTTGAGGGAGGGTCAAATCAAAAGTTTGTCCCCGGGCGCCGGAAAGGTTCGCTACGCCTCTGTTTTGTAGTCATTCACTGTGTCAGACGCGTCCGCCGGGACTCGGAAAGGGCGTGATTTGGCGCTACGGGATTGACTGTGAGTAATATGCCTTTATGATTGCATTTAAATTGTGTTTATGTTATGAGTGTTGTGTTCGATTTTACAAGCTTTTATTTAACTCACTTCCTCTGTCGTCAGTCGTCAGTCTGTCTAGACGGAAACGCAGGAGTGAAAATTCGGACAGTTCTACTTGACCGACACGATTCACAGTTGGCACGTGGGTCAAGACATGAAGACAATGCAATCTGAAACTAAATTTGACTTAATTGGATGC